GCTATTATATTATAACAGGATGAAATTAGATAATATCTCAAGCACACTGCTGCTATATAATAGTAGGATATCTCAAGCACACTGCTATTATATTATAATAGGATGAAATTAGATAATATCTCAAGCAAACTGTTATTATATTATAGTAGGATATCTCAAGCACACTGCTATTATATTATAACAGGATGAAATAAGATAATATCTCAAGCACACTGTTATTATATTATAGTAGGATATCTCAAGCACACTGCTATTATAACAGGATGAAATTAGATAATATCTCAAGCACACTGCTGTTATATTATAGTAGGATATCTCAAGCACACTGCTATTATAACAGGATGAAATTAGATAATATCTCAAGCACACTGCTGTTATATTATAGTAGGATATCTCAAGCACACTGCTATTATATTATAACAGGATGAAATTAGATAATATCTCAAGCACACTGTTATTATATTATAGTAGGATATCTCAAGCACACTGCTATTATATTATAACAGGATGAAATTAGATAATATCTCAAGCACACTGCTGTTATATTATAGTAGGATATCTCAAGCACACTGCTATTATATTATAATAGGATGAAATTAGATAATATCTCAAGCAAACTGTTATTATATTATAGTAGGATATCTCAAGCACACTGCTATTATATTATAACAGGATGAAATTAGATAATATCTCAAGCACACTGCTATTATATTATAATAGGATGAAATTAGATAATATCTCAAGCACACTGTTATTATATTATAGCAGGATATCTCAAGCCACACTGCTATTATATTATAAACAGGATGAAATTAGATAATATCTCAAGCACACTGCTGCTATATTATAGTAGGATATCTCAAGCACACTGCTATTATATTATAATAGGATGAAATTAGATAATATCTCAAGCAAACTGTTATTATATTATAGTAGGATATCTCAAGCACACTGCTATTATATTATAACAGGATGAAATTAGATAATATCTCAAGCACACTGCTGTTATATTATTGTAGGATATCTCAAGCACACTGCTATTAATTTATATTATAATAGGATGAAATTAGGGAATATCTCAAGCACACTGTTATTATATTATAATAGGATGAAATTAGAGAATTATCTCAAGCTTACTGCTGTTATATTATAATAGGATGAAATTAGAGAATATCTCAAGCACACTGCTATTATATTATAAGAGGATGAAATTAGGAAATATCTCAAGCACCAAATGTTCACTAGGTTAAATATTCTGTTTAAAATTTGGTTATGTTTTTTAAGTTGATCTCACTGCAGTGTCACCGTGTTTGGGTCTGAATACTATAGGGTCATTGATTTTTTTTCTTATGTCAAAGTTAAAGTCCAGCTAGGTTGGTGGTTTAAAGGATGTTTAGGAAAAAATCACAAAACCCAGAGGGTCGTCAAAGGTCACGCTAAAATTGCCAGTAAATGTGAGCTTGAAAATTATTCTATGGCCTTAACAGTGTTGGGGTTACACTTATTGTAACATAATATACAAGAATTAAGAAAATTTACATTAACTTACTGTAATTCAGATATTTAATGGCAAGTACATGTTGCTCTGGAAGCATTTGTAAATCACTTTATTACAGTTATAATATTTTGTTTGTTTATTTGCTTCAGTTTACGCCTTTTCTCAACAGTATTTCAGTCATATAGGCGGGTAGTTTCCTAACCATCGTTCCACAGTTATAATATAATATGATATATATAATATATATATATGATATGATATATGTACACACATTTTGAGACTTTTTATGCAGTCAGTATGGTATAAAATAACATTTCACCAGTTACGAGTCTTTTGGCCACCAGCCATAACATTGTAAGAATAATATTGTTAGCAAAATAATATTTCAAAAATTTATGAGAAAAGTTGAATTCCGAGAAAACATGACTTAAATGTGTACACAAAATTTTAGAGATGCTGAACAAAACAAAATAACATGGAATATCTTGCTGGCAGATTATGTTTTAAGATAACCATCTGTTATTTCCCTCAGTATAAAGCATTTTAGTATCAGTATTTAATTGATCACAGATCAGTCTAGTAATGAGGCAGGCTCTGACTCTAATTTACTCTTAATTGTTTCAGTGTAACTGCCTTAGTAACTGGTAATTTTCTTTCATACTGTATTAAAAAAGATAGAAAAAAAGGCAAATAGAAAAAGAGAGGGGAAGAAGATCTTTGAGATTGAATAAAACTTACTAAGCAATCTCAATTAAACTCTATGGCTCAGGCAAGTGACTGTCCTTGCTGTTAATTCATTAGTGGCATAGGAAAGTGACTGACTGTTCATTGGTGGCACAGGCAAGTTACTAGCTAGGTTCACTGGTGGCATAGGCAAGTGACTGGCTGGGTTCACTGGTGGTACAGGCAAGTAAATGGCTCGGTTCACTGGTGGCACAGGCAAGTGACTGGCTATTCACTGGTGACACAGGCAAGTGATGGGCTGTTCACTGGTGGCACAGGCAAGTGACTGACTGTTCACTGGTGACACAGGCAAGTGATGGGCTGTTCACTGGTGACACAGGGGAAGTGACTGGCTGTTCACTGGTGCACAGGCAAGTGACTGGCTGTTCACTGTGACACAGGGAAGTGACTGGCTGTTCACTGGTGGCACAGGCAAGTGCCAGGCTGTTCACTGGTGACACAGGGAAGTGACTGACTGTTCACTGGTGGCACAGGCAAGTGACTGCTGTTCACTGGTGGCACAGGCAAGTAACTAGCTGTTCACTAGTGGCACATGCAAGTGACTTGCTGTTCACTAGTGGCACAGGCAAGTGACTGGCTGTTCACTGGTGGCACAGGCAAGTGACTCATTGGCTGTTCACTGGTAGCACAGGCAAGTGACTTGCTGTTCACTGGTGGCACAGGCAAATGACTGGCTGTTCACTGGTGGCACAGGCAAGTGAATGGCTGTTCACTGGTGGCACAGGCAAATGACTGGCTGTTCACTGGTGGCACAGGCAAGTGACTGGCTGTTCACTGGTTACTCAGGCTAGTGACAGACTTTTCACTGGTGGCATAGGCAAGTGACTGGCTGTTTACTGGTGACACAAGCAAGTGACTGCCCTGGCTCTTACCTCATGGTATATGCAAGTATTAAATTTTTATTTTGGTTGTTGGCTGCAAGATTTCAGAGTAGAAATTTGTTTACAGTTATGATACACATCAGACATTTAGTTAGGTATTGTTTAAAGTGGAATTGATTCTTATCATATTTTATAATGTGTACAGGAGCATTGGCATTAGAGATGTAGAAATGATGCCAACAGCAAAAGCTCTAAAAGATATCAACAAAAAGTTAGAAATAGTATGATTGATTTATGTAAAGGTATAATGGTAAAGAAAAGTTTATTTGTTGCAAATAGGGTGGGGAGAGAGGAAATCTTAAATGTATAGTGGTGGGGTTATACAGTTTTATGCCTAGATTTGTTATGCTATGGAGTGAAATTATTATCTTCACAGGAAGAATATAAGGTATGAGTGTGTCCTGCTCAGCTATTAAATACCAAAGTAAGAAGTTTTGCCAAACTTGTGGAGAACACCAAATAAATCCTTATTAGATGACATACTTTCAATCTGAACTAAATCTTCTTTGAAAATACTAATTTTGAATATGAACTGTTTAAGTTAACTGTTTGTTCCAATTTTAATTTCTTTGATATTGGGTCATCAAAGTGTAGGGGTTTGAAAGATTTGTGTAAATTTTAAATATTTACAGTGTTCATTTTCCTTCCATTATTTGATGTTAATGTCCCTATTAAATATTGATGCTACATGTTAGCACTTCAAATACATTGATACTTGTACTGTATAATTTAACAAGACTTCAAATGATTTGCCTATGTTTGCTATTATTATGTACATGTGTAACTATGTAATTATTGGGGTAGGAGATTGAGACCATAGGTCTGTTGGGCATAATTCACTTGGGTTTAATTCTCAGGTAAAGGAAAACAGAGTCAGGTCATAAACAGAAATTTTCTTAGCTGGAACTTACAACTCCAGTAGGGGCGTCCATGGCCGAGTGGTTCAGGTCGTTGACTTCAAACCACTTGCCCCTCACCGCTGTGGGTTCCAATCCCTACAGGGACTTTGGATTCTTTCATGTAAGGAAGCTATCCAGCCAGTTTACGGAACGTCGGTGGTTCTATTCAGGTGCCCATTCGTGCCTGAAATAGTGCACGGAAGGGCACCTGAGGTCTTCCTCCACCAGTAAAGCTGGAACGTCGCCGAATGTGTTGGTGTGACGTAAAACCCAAACAAACAAACAAAACAACTCCAGTATTTGATTGCTTGATCAGAAACTGACTCAGAATGTAATTTGACCAATTAAAATCCTGAGATTTGAGACTAAACTCAGAAAAAAAAGTTTTATAACCTTGAGGCCAGGTCAGTAAAGGAAATTAAAGAGACTGCCCTGCTAATATGTTTGACTTTTAAAATACCTGTATTGTATGAACATGTATTTATTTGACATATATCATAACACTGTAATGAAGTGTAAATCAATCTCTGTCTGTTTTTAGATAAGACTAGCTTAAAGTATGCTAACTATATTAAGAGATATATACAAGAAACATAATTATTTTTGACTGTTTGTGATAATAAATGAAAAAATTAGTGTATATTACAAACAATAAGTTTTAATAATGACCCGAATAAGGTGGGTTACAAAAAGGCCTTATTGAGAGAGTGATTTAAAGGGGCCTTATTGGCAGGAGTGATTCAAGGAGCCAAAGTGACAGTGTTGTTAAAGGGACCATAGTAGGTTAAAATGGTTAAAATTAACATTGACATATTGAGCTTTTGACCAAGTTTTTAAAGGGGTATTAGTGTTAAGAGAGGATTTGATAGCTTACTTAAACCTGACTTTCATGTTTAAGGCTTTATATTTGATTTCAATATATAAACATTACATTAAAAAAACAACATTTGTATAAAATGATACTTTATATATTTTCAGGTATGGGGCAGGGGACCTCAATAACTTACGTAACTATAGAAACTGGCCATCTGCAGAGGGGATTTACAAGAAAAGGGGAGATAACTCAATAAAGACACAGAAACCAATTTGTCGAAGAAAAACAACATTTACCATAGAAGCTACTACAGCTCATTTGTTATGGCAAATATGGTAAGTGTATATATTAACCCTTACCTTGTTGGTACAGAGTGTGATTAGCCTTTGCCATCATTATGGAGCCAGTCTAGCCTGCACATCCGTGTAGTCTTTTTAACTTTCGAAATCCCCAAAATTGATAATCATAATGGATGGTTCCAAAAAAACAACAAATCCAAACAAATTTTTTTTGGCAGACAATTTCAGCAGTTTAAGCTAACATTAAGGATTTTGAGTTCTGACTGCTTGTTGAAATATATAAAGGTCAAAGGAGTACAGTTTTTACCTACAGACTTGGTATGACAGTTCATGAACTACTAAGTTATGTTTAAAGCCTCTGGCCAGGATATTTAATTAGGCATTCAATGATGTTACTTGTGTACATGTACATTCCTAAATACCGTTTTGTAGTTTGTTTATTTATATGATGAAAGTTTATGTTTTCCACACTAGACAACATATGTTCCTTGTGTGTGAAATTCTGTACTTGCCAAAATGTTAGGCCTGAAGGAATTTACAACTGCATTGTTTTTAGACATATAAAAAAAGTGTTAATTTATAGTGATAATAAGATTTCCTCTGTGTAAGATTGTGATCTGAAATGTATGACATGTTTTTAATGGCATTTGAATTGTCTGCTTGATCGTAATGGCAATGTTTTACTTGTCCTAGTGTCAATGTAGGTATAAAAAAAAATTATTAAGATGCTGTATTGTTTCCAATTAACGCCCCTTCCCTCTATAATTATCCACCCCTCTATAATTGTTAACCCCCTCCCCCCCCCTCCACCACCAACTTCACCACCGCATGTAGAAAAAAAATCTTACTTTATAGGTTTATAATCCACAATGAAAGAGTATTCCAAAAAAATCCAAATATTTTTATTTAAAAAATAACAATAAATGGCACTTTAGTAATGTCATTAAAAAATACTCGTATATTATATATTAGATCATATTTATAATTGAATTGTATAATTTATTTAATAAACATATTTTAAAGCAAATTTTTATAGTTCTAATAAGCATCCCTCTTTTGAAAAAAATGCAAGCCCTTGGGGGTGTTAAATGGAGACAATATGGTAAATTAGATTCAGATTTTAATTGTTTAGGGCTCGTCAAAATATATACATGAAAAACACTAAGCATAAAATTATACTCAGAAGTCCAATCATCCTGAAGCTTTACTAAGTCCTGTATCAAAACTGAGTCTCACCTTAATAAAGTATTTATGATTTTTTTCAGAGTTATAATGACGGAGCAGAACTGTTCCTTGATATTCTTACAAAGGAGGAGAGGGAGGCCCTCCTTACACAGAAGATGCAGGCCATTCGTAAGAAGAATGACATCCTGCGAATACGACATGAGGTAAGTTGAACGTAACAATTCAATAGCATCTCTGTTTTGCAGATATTTCAGGCAACAGTTTCTAAATAGAAATAAGTCATTTTAATATGAGTCCAAATTTATTTGGTCAAGACACATCTCAATTTATTACTTAAAGGGATTCCACTGAGGTTTCTTGACATGATGGCACTAGAAATAATTTTTCGAGATAAGTGTTCCAATTGATGTAGTTTATAAACCAATAAATTGTATGCAAACTTTCAGATCATCTCCTCTCTTCATTTTTTCTTGAATTAATATTTTAATTGTGAGAAACCCAACATTAAAGCATTGCAACGCTTTTCACTCAAATCAGACAAAGAATTAATAGCACAAAAATATGATTTCCAATTTATTTCTGAGTATATTAAAATGGTTCTTTACTATCTTTTATATATAACTATTTGTTTTAATTGCCCCAGCTGGTCTATGTTAGAAATTGAAAGTTTATGTTTTAGTGAACTTCCTTTAAAATTGGTAAAAATAAGTAAGTGAATAAATAATATAAAATAAAATAAAATAATAAAAATAAATAATAAAATAAGTAAGTTAGTTAGATTAAGTCATGGAATTTTTTTTTGTGACACCAAATTCTGAATGTCTTATCATGAGAATGTCATTCAAATTTTGAGCATTTCTTGTATTTCTATTAATTTTATGGTGAGGAAGAATCCGAAATAAGGTCAGAGTACTGTCCAATATGATTTATGTTGTGAATTGAAGATCATTAAAGATAAGTTTAAATTTATAATATTAGATGAAGAAAGTTTCATTCTGTACTGACAAAAAATAAAAAAAAAACAAAAAAACAACAGCAACCTTTTTGCTTCCTTTTTGCCTGACAGAATATTTTACAAGATTTCTGGCAATGTAGCAGAGTTCGACACCTTACCATGGGCAGTCACATATTGTTGATATAAAACTTTAAAAAACAAAAAAAACAAAACAAAACAAAAACGACAAAAAAATAAAAATCAGAAAAACATTCATGAATTTTAGAAGCAATTTTTCCTTCATTTTTTTTTTGTAAACATTGGCATTACATTACACTAATGAACACTGTTCATTTTTTTTTTTTTTCAAAAAAAAAGTTACGTCTGATGTATATAAATATAGTTTTATCATCAGTATCGTACATGTACTAAATCGTTGATTATCTTTTGATGATAAATTCTAATGATTACCTGTAGAAAATGATAGCATTTTTGAGTACTCTCATAAGTACATTCATAAAGTAGGCACTAGAAGTGCATGCATGTCTGTAAGCTCTTTGTAGACAATATATAACACCTGTCTATAGGTGTCCTGTAAAAATTTGAAGCATTTTTTTTTTTTGCCAAGGCACTTGAGTGCTTTAAGAAATTTTTACATCAAAGCTAACCTTATAAATATGTTTTTTTTGTTTTTTTTCATGTAAGTTTGTAGCATTTAAAAAAAGGACACAATTCATAGCAAAAAGTTAACAACTTTTAAATAGATCAGAGTTTTTTTTAAAAAATACAGAGACACTTGACATTTGTGCTAGCAAAAAACAAAAGTCGTGTTCACACGGATAGTGCCCACTGGTATTAGGGTGGTTTTTAGCTCGACTATACGAAGTATATGGAGAGCTGTCCTACTCGCCCCGGCGTCCGCGTCCAGATTTTAGATTAAAGTTTTGGTGCAGTAAAATATTTTTCACTATAACTTTGTCATTTCTTAAGGTATCAACTTCAAACTTCAAATATATGTTCCTTATCATCAACCACATCTTATGTGACAAGGTTCATAACTCTAGCACCAATATTTTCAGATTTATCTCCCCTTGAACGTCGTCAGTCCGTCCGTCGTCCGTCCGTAAACTTTTACTTTAAATGACATCTCCTCATAAACCACTGAGCCAATTTCATCCAAACTTCACAGGACTGTTCCTTTGGTGGTCACCTTTAAAAATTGTTCAAAGAATTTAATTCCATGCAGAACTCTGGTTGCCATGGCAACCGAAAGAAAATACTTTAAATATCTTCTTTTAAAAAACCATAAGAGCTAGAGCTTAGATATTTGGCATGAAACATCTTCTAGTGAGTGTCTACCAAGTTTGTTCAAATAAAAGCCCTGGGGTCAAAATTGGCCCCGCCCCAGGGGGTCATTGATTTTCCCTATATGCATATAGTAAAAACTTAAAAAATCTTCTTTTAAAGAACCCAAAGAGCTAGAGCTAAGATATTTAGCATGAAACATGTTCTAATGGGTGTCTACCAAGTTTGTTCAAATGAAAGCCCTGGGGTCAAAATTGGCCCCGCCCCGGGGGGTCATTGATTTTTCCTATAGGCATATAGTAAAAACTAAAAAAATCTTCTTTTAAAGAACTCAAAGAGCTATGGCTAAGATATTGAGCATCAAACATGTTCTAATAGGTGTCTACCAAGTTTGTTCAAATAAAAGCCCTGGGGTCAAAATTGGCCCCGCCCCAGGGGATCATTGATTTTCCCTATATGCATATAGTAAAAACTTAAAAAATCTTCTTTTAAAGAACTCAAAGAGCTATGGCTTAGATATTTAGCATCAAACATGTTCTAATAGGTGTCTACCAAGTTTGTTCAAATAAAAGCCCTGGGGTCAAAATTGGCACCACCCCGGGGGTCATTGATTTTCCTTATATGTGTATAGCAAAAACTTAAAAAATCTTCTTTGAAAAAACCCAAATAGCTAGAGTTAAGATATGAAGCATGAAACATCTTTTAGTGAGTATCTACAAAGTTTGTTCAAATAAAAGACCTGGGGTCAAAATTGGCCCCGCCCGGGGGGTCATTGATTTCTTTATATGTGTATAGCAAAAACTTAAAATCTTCTTTGAAAAAACCCAAATAGCTAGAGTTTAGATATTAAGCATGAAACATCTTCTAGTAAGTGTCTACAAAGTTTGTTCAAATAAAAGCCCTGGGGTCAAAACTGGCCCGGCCCCAGGGGTGTCATTGTTTTTAACTATATGTGTATAGTAAAAACTTTAAAAAAAATCTTCTTTTAAAAAGCCCAATGAGCTAGAGCTTAGATGTTTAGCATGAAACATCTTCTTATGGGTGTCTACCAAGTTTGTGCAAATTAAAGCCCTTGGGTTAAAATTGGCCCTGCAACATTTGGGGGGGGGGGGGGGCCTATATACAGGTGAGCGACCTCAGGGCCATCATGGCCCTCTTGTTTACTGTTACTTATTTATTTCTAAAGGGATCAACTTCATCCTTCAAATATATTTACTTTATCATCATCCACATCTTATGTGACAAGGTTCATAACTCTAGCACCAATATTGCAAAAATTATCTCCCCATAAACTTAGATTTTTTTACTAGAAAAATGTTATTTTTTATTATAACTTTTTTATTTTTAAAGGTATCTACCTCAAACTTCAAATACTTATTCCTTATCATCAATTACATTTATGTGACAATGTTCATAACTCTTGAAGCAATATTTACAGATTTATCTCTCTTTGAACTTAGGATTTTCTTTAAGAAATATAATAACTTCTTTACTTTTTAAGGTATCTACTTCAAACTTCAAATATATATTTCTTATCATTACACAAATGTTGTGTGACAAGGTCCATAACTCTAGCATGACTATTTCTAGAATTATTCCCCTTGACCTTGGAATTAATGTTAACAAATGTTATTTTTTTTACTATAACTTAATACATAATTATACATAATTGATTTTTCTTTCATAGTTTTGTACTCCTTACTGCGTCCAGTATTTTATTAGTCGAGCTTCGCTGTCTCCTGTGACAGCTCTTGTTCACTGTAAAGGAAGGGGCCCTTCCCTTAAATCAAGGAACCCTGCTTAAAACAACCTTGAGATTGATAAACTTTCTAGCATTGCCACTGTAAGAGAATGTTATGTGTCCCTCTGTGCAGTGTTTCATACACAAAACTGTTAACCGAATTGAAGTATTGACCTTTTATACTGGCCAGATAGTTTCCTTTTATGAAAACATTCAAACATTTCTGGTAGGTTTAAAACCCACTGCAAAGGGGAGCAAGACTAGTGTTCAAGTCATTGATCTTACCACTTGGGTACAGAGCCTGTGCTAGAAAAAAAACCCTAATTATATTGAGAAATTGAAAGAGATATATGCTTAAAGTTTTTTTTTTAAAGTAATTTGGTGACTAATGCAGAGAAACAAATGCTATATTATTTGGCCTTTTTTGCATTTAACAAAAGATTTGGAAAGCTCTTAGTTTCAATTCATCCCACCTGTGGATGCCAGTATCTTAGTGAACAGATAAATTTACCCACAAAATAATGATTTCTTTAGGCCAAAAAAGTTATGCTTTGTTTTTTTTCTACAGAAAATAAAGTTGCACTTATGTCTCTTTGGTTTTTTTGTAACCCAAAAAATCCGATACATTTACAATATATGATATTTTATTTTATGTAATTATACTTTTTAAAATGAGTTGTATGGTTTGAGTCTTGTCAGCAGCAACACAATATTTTTGGTATAGCCACAAAATTAAGTATAAATTGTGAAAACAATAACCGATTAAACTTTTATCACCACTGTTTGTCTGTTACAGGAGATTCAAGCTGATAAGCGGAACTTCGGACCCATGTCAAAACCAAATGAGACTGGTATACAGACTCAGCCCCTAAAACAGACACAGGAACGTCCCCAGAGAGGGACACAGTCTCCTAAAAAGGAGATCAAGGTAAGATTTTTATTAATTAATATTAGAGACTTATATTTAAAGAAAGTTGTTTCTGTGAGTAAGTACACTTTACACTCATTGCTTAGTATTGGTTGGTTCCAGGAATTGATTTGAGAGTGTTTCAATAAGCTTAAAGCTTCCAACACAGTTAAACTAATATTATTTTGTATAAACAATGAAAGTTTTTCAGTGAGAGAATTTAAATTTCAGCTCTCATAAGGTGAATATAAAGTTTTATAGGAAATTTGAAAAGTGTTTTTAATGCTGCTAATATAGACTCAATTTTTAGATGAAAAATGATAATTATATTCACAGTTTAGAAATTTCTAAAATTTGAATAAAAGCTAAATAAATAGAGTGAGTGACTACAGTACATTATCAGGGAGGATTCTGGGTTGTCTCTTCTAAAGTTTTTCTTTTTACAATGAAAAATTGAGTGTTTACACTATGAGTGTATGACGTACGTGCCAAAGCTATCCAGTTAGAGTATAAAGGTCTTTGGTTCTACTCAGGTGCCTACTTGTTCCTGAAATAATGAAACAATGGGTGCCTGAAATATTCCTCCAGTAGTATGTCACGATATTGTCTTTACATGGTCAGTATGACTTGTAAAGTTTAAACTTATCCAAAGAATAAGTATAGGTTAGTGTTTAATAATATGTATTAACAAAAATAATTGGTCAAGCCTGCCACAGGCAGGCGACCAATTATTTTTGTTAATGCATATTATTAAACATTAACCTATTTAATGATCAACATTATTTTTTCAACCAAAAACAAGGCATTTCACTAAATCACGGATAGCTCCACCCTTTCGCTCTACAAGATGTCTACACCTTGTCAAGTTTCTAACATATCACATTTAGATAAGCTAAATAAATGGCCCTATCAACAAATTTTACTGAAATGTCACAGAATTTATACCTTTATCTACAGTAAGACTATCATGCTGGAAAAAAAAACAGCCAGGAAAATGATGCAATTAGGAAAAAACAATGGAGTTAATGAAATGTGTACATCCTTTATAAATAAATGGAAAATGTTCACTAACATTTAAAATGCCTATTGATTTGCTCACTTGAAAAACAGTTTTTCTGTGTGTCAATCTAGGTTTACAGGTGGAAAGGGTCCATTTACAATGAGTTTTCCAGCCAAAAAATGTATTATCATTGTATTCTTAATGTCAAGGATTGTTAATGCAGTTCATTCCTATAAACTGAAAGAAAATTATATTTTGGTTACTTTTTCTAGAAAAAAAAGAAGTTTAAAACAGTCAACAATTTATAACAGACATTTTTCTTAGAGTTAAAAGGATATAAAAAAGAAACTATGTAATCATTTGTCTCTGCATGCCCCACATGTATTATCTATGTAATAAATTAATTGATTGTATCCTCACATTTAGAAACACCTGACCTCGCTTAATTGTTTTTTACGTTGGCATTGTTTTGCTAACCTAGATATTTTACAATTCAGAGTGCAAATAACACCTCTAACTCCTCCCTAATATAATGCATTATTGAAATTTGTTAGACAGATCAAGTAAATTTTATTTAGTTAGTACACATTAACCAAAGTTAGACTTAGCAGAAATTTGAAAAATACTACAATGTGATTGGACAAAAGATAATGTTGATCATTAATGATATACATACAGTGAGTTATATAGGTTATATCTAACTAAAATAACGTGTATCCCTTTCATGGTGATGGGGGATATAGAGGATATTTGTTTGTTTGTGTGTAAGATGAAATTTTATTTCATCGAGTGGGCTTTAAAAACAGTATTCTCACGAGTGGCGTAGCCACGAGTGAGAATACTGTTTTTAAAGTTCACGAGATGAAATAAAATTACATCTTACACAACAAACAAACAAATTTTCTTTTTATTTTATGCTTAAAAACAAGTTAAAACGAAATTTCCTTAATATTTACGTTAATATTAAAATCTGTTTCCCCATTTAGAGCCTCAAAAAAGTCGTATTTCTCATTAAATACAAGAAGTCATGGGCTGAAAAATAAGTTCCACAATCAACGTTAAATAATGGTGATAGTATTCATTTTATTAAGAAAATATGTCTGATCCAATGTTTAAATAATAAAAACAAACAATTCTAGTAGGAGAAAAAGTCCAACCATCCATCCATATTTCTGTTACTGACTGCGTATTTATATTAGACCTGGCTTTGTTAAATGTAAGCGGCCGCCATTTTTAAAGTTGTGTATTTCACTGGAGGAAAATAATTGTGTTTGATTCAGAGGGATATCATTTGGATTTGTTAGTCATACACCTTTTTAAAAGAAAGAAAACTTATATGAGGATTGTAACAGACAATAAATAAGTGTTGACAGATGTGTAAACATTCAAAAAAGTGGATAGGAAATTGGAAAACTTGGAAGCCTTACGAACGCTGGGTTGTTTTACATATTCTTCGACTGAAAGCTGCCATTGCTTTTCAAGTTTTCATAAAGCATACTGCAGTTTTTGCTCGTAGGATACTTAAATATTCCCAAATGTCATCAAGAGCAGTTTTGCATGTGGAAGGAATGTATTTTTCAGACTGTAAAAATGAAACAAAAAATTAAAGAGACGATATTTGGTGATTGGTAATTTTAATGAATAGAAGTAACTTACTGTAAGTTTTCTTCTTTTTATTACTTTTGACATATAAGTTATTTATCAATTTCAGCTTTGCTTTTCTTTAAACAGCCTGATATTGACGGAATAGTCAGCAAAAATAAAATTGAGGTACCACATGGGGAAAATCTTAAAAAAGTAGTTTCGTCATTGAAAAGTGTGAAATTATATTTTGATAATTTTCACTGTGAAATTATCAAATATAATTTTCACGGATAAATCAGTAATCCACTGAAAAGCATAAAATAAATATAGTTAATCATGTACACAAATCGACGCATCTTACAAAATCTATAAAATCTTTGATTAACATGAAATATGGAGATTGTAATAATTTTGATATTGCAGCCTCACAGTAATGAAGATTGTAATAATTTTGATATCACAGCCTCACAATAATGAAGATTGTAATAATTTTGATATCAAAGCCTCACAATAATGAAGATTGTAATAATTTTGATATCGCAGTCTCACAATAATGATGATTGTAATAATTTTAATATCACAGCCTCACAATGGAGAGGACAATAGATGGAGAGACAACAAGGATCGCTCCGAGAAATCCCCAGAGAAGAAGGCCCCTAAATCAGCCGCAGGGCGCGGTAAACAGCTCGCTCGTATGAGCAAAGAAAAACTCAAAGCTCAGGTAACTTCGTTGTTTTGACATTGTGTGATGATATGTGACATAAATTTTTTGTGCTGACGTTATTATGTCAGACGTAGCCTGGTGAATTAGTGTAAAAGACAATTCTTGCTTTGAATTTGAAATTTACAATTGCAAGTATTGGGGATTTCAATATCAAAATATTAAAAGTTCAGCAGCCAACAGCTTTGCACCTGGTTGATTTGGCTTTAAACTATTAGTGATTCATGTGTTATAAGTGTTAAAAGAAAAAAAAAAAAAAACACTTGCTTAAACAAGTTGGTGCTTAGAATTTTCCAAACTTACGGGTAAAGTGGCTAAGGTTTGCCATAATAAAAAGACATCTATTCATATATACATTTCCTAAAATCTCTGAAGAAGAAAAAAAGAACTATTAGTATTGATATAAAATGAATAGCGAAAATATTTTAAGAGTTAATGTACAGTGTTGCTAATGTGTTACATTGAACAATCTATACAGCCTGTAAGCATGATTTTGAAAATGATTTGACTAGACTAGATCTGATATTAGTAGAGGAATGTGTTCTATGCATAATGCATGACTTAAGGTGATTTGGAATTTCAAAGTTACCATACAAAATGTTATTTAGAAAGAAATGTGTTATTTGGATTGGTATTAAATCTACAATATGTTGGATGAAGTCATAATGGTAATATAACAAAATTTAAAGTTGTTTTTTTTCTTTAAAAGAAAAAGATGATTTTAAAGCCTCAATTCTCTTAATATCATGTTAATGAATATGAAGATATTTAAATAAATGTCGTAAAGCATGGTTTGGAAATATTTTCCCCTTAACAACTAACAGTTGATATTTCTTTATTTCAAACTTCCACCTCTCACCTACCACCCATTTGCTGTATGGCTTTTATGATGATGCATTTTACAACGTTACACAAAATGGCTGACTTGTTGCATGCTTCGGAATGACCTTGACCTTAAAACAGGATATGAGGATCTCTAGGTCACATAGCGATGTTGGACAGTCGAGAACCATATCCATGCATGATGGGTACCAGCCTTTTCGAAGGCAGGGATCCAGGGAGAGTTCTGGGTCAGAGGGAAAGGGAACCGAACATAGAGAGTTTGATTCAAGAATATTTCGTCGAAACCCAGATAAACAGGTGACGTTTCAGGAGGACCAGCAAATTTCCCCTCCCAGAATGCAGCACAATAGAGATGGCATGCAGCCATATAGACGTCCCAATCAGCGACAAGATCGCCGAAGCTGGGACAATGATATAGAAAATCAGTTACCTCGAGAATTTATGAATAATCCTCTGTTACGAAATGCTGGTGGCCAACGTCAGAATCAATCTGAAAGAAATGAACGCCATTGGGATCAACATGACCGACGTTCACATCCCCAAGGTCGTAACAATCGCAACTGGGGTCAGGGTGATAGTGGTCATCGCAATAACAATGATCAGCACTGGGATCAACATGATCGTAGAGGGAATTTCCGAAATGAACAAGATGGTCGAGGGAATAACTATAGAGGAAGAGGTAGGAATAACAGTTTTTCCGACGATCATGACAGGTATGAAAATAACTTTCAAGATAAGAGACGAACTCATCGTTCCTTTAACGAACATGATGTACGGGAAAACAATGGTGACAGAGGCAATTATCAGCGAAAAGACTATGACAGGAAAGATAATTATCGTGATATCAGAGAGCAATATAGAAAAGGAGATAATCAAAGGGACAGACAAGGCAACCATCAAAATGGCGGGAATCAGCGGGGTGGCTTTAACGATGAAAATAGACCTCCCCCTGCAGAGAGAAGTTTCAGTAGGGAAGAAGATAGGGTTGAAGTAAGTTGCTTATGTAATTATCAGTTAACGAAATGTTGAAATAAAGAAAAATCACAGGAAAAAATATCATGATTGATATCTGAAGCATGTAGAAATAAATTTGAAACTCAGTATGTTAACTATTTTCATGAAACCATTAGTAAAAATTAAAAATAGATCCATGTCCCCTATATCAGTCATTAAACCATTTACAAAAAAGTGATTATCAGTATAAAAGGTGTGTTCACTGTGACTTGTCCATTTAAAATATTTTATATAACAGTAGAATATAGAATTTTTGAAATACAGATTTTCTGAAATATCCTTGCTCTTTATATGTTACTGAAGGGGTATGGACAATTATTTCGGTTTGAAAGTTAGATTTACTAAATTTTTACTACAAACACTTCTTGCCTCAAAGTGGTTAAACATGAAATAAGACAAAATCTAGTATGATATTTAAAGCATGTAGTTTAGAGTGTTTTGAAATGCTGGCATGTTGTTTTATGCATTAAATTTAATTTTCAATTTAGTTAACATTTTAAAGATGGTAAACAATTATATTCCCAATAAATACAGGAATATAGTAGATGTGTATTGCAAAACAAATCTGGCCACCCCCTGTATGCATGTATTCATTTTGGTTTTGGTTTCTACCCTTTATGAACATTTTACATACAGACATAAAAAGATTTTCTTCAGGTAAGGTCTTTGGGCAAAACATCAGATTCAATGATGTTTCTTCAAATTTCTTTTTATGCAAATTAGACATTGCATCTAGGGTATGGGACATTGCAACTAGGGTATGGGACATTGCAACTAGGGTATGGGACATTGCAACTAGGGTATGGGACATTGCAAATAGGGTATGGGACATTGCAACTAGGGTATGGGACATTGCAACTAGGGTATGGGACATTGCAAATAGGGTATGGGACATTGCAAATAGGGTAAGGGACATTGCAACTAGGGTATGGGACATTGCAACTAGGGTATGGGACATTGCAACTAGGGTATGGGACATTGCAACTAGGGTATGGGACATTGCAACTAGGGTATGGGACATTGCAACTAGGGTATGGGACATTGCAAATAGGGTATGGGACATTGAATCTAGGGTTTTCAATATTGCAACAAGGGTATTGGATACCATGTGTAGCTGCAAATCAGAAAAGTGACCATTCAAAATGGAGACTTTGATTTGAGATATCTCTATGATGCCATTGACCAATGCTTCATTTGATAAGCTGTAAAATATCATTGTAACCAATATCCCAAAGTAATGATGTCCCTACGTATCACCATGTAACCATATTTGACAAAAAATTATTTAAACATTATTGTCTTTAAGATTGACTTCCTGTCATATTCAGTAACTTATTTTCGGTATTTGTATGGTAACTGGTTGAAATTATTTAACTGTATGGTAAAGGTTTTGATCATTTTTTTTAAAGGGTCCCCCTCCTGACCCACAATATAATTTCCTGTCTGATCGAACCCGGGACAAGCCTCGGGCGGATCTTAAGGACAAGAAACAAGGGGAAAAAGAGAATCGAAACGGCGACTGGAACAACAACAACAAGGAGGCTTCACGTCGACATCCTAAGAATTTCGGAGGAACAGATTTTAACAGTGTCAAGGGTAAAATGAAAGAAGTGAAAGAAAGACAGGTTCGTTTTTAAGTGTGATTTTTTAATATTTGCTTTATGTTTCGTCAATGTAATTTTCACATACAGCTTTGCTTTAGCCCAAGTGGCTGCAACGTTAAAATGATTAGTTTTTGTTTGACGATTAACATCTGTTTTTTTAACAGCATTTCATTGAGTTTCAGTGTGTTTAGCTTGATTTTGTTAACCAAACCAGCATTTTTTTATCCTTAGAGACGCAGGTTCTTTTTTCATGAAATTAAATGTCCTCCCCACAATATGGCATTGTTGTTACCAGAAATGTTTATGGCAGTTTCTTTAATGCTTGAACCTTACAAAATTTGACCAAACTAGTTGACAGTCTAAAGGCAATTTGCATTTAGCTCGCCAATAAATTTTGAAACCTTTGAATTGTTATGCTTCTCGAAAATATTGAGGGTATAATATTGGCCAGAATGTCATCCTTGTGTCACACTTTCTGATAGTTTTATCATTTGAAAGTATTTGCCCCAATTGCTGCTGCGATTTTGCACTTGCTCAGGACTTTCAATGTTTTCAAACTTTCATGAAAGGAAGCTACCCAGCTAGCTTATGGGAGATTGGTGATTCTACTCTATTTGCAGAGAAAATAAACCCCAAAAACTATGAACTATTTAAAATTGTGTTGTAATTTCTGGCAGTTGTGTGTGTGTTGAAAAGGAAGCACAAAATTTGAACTAACCAAGGTTTACTGAAGACTATAATTATGATCCTTTACAATTCCAATTTATCAAAATGTGAAATGTCAAGATTGTAAAATAAAATCATTCGAAATGGAGCTTATTGTGATAAAGCAAACTTCACATTACAGGAAATGCAGCGTTCTCCTCCTAAAACCAAGATGGAGTTGGCAATGCAGATGACCGGGCGTGAACGTCGTCAGTATACAGAATGGAAGAGTGAACGAGAAAAGGTGGACCAATCGAGAGTAGACCGATCTAAAAATAACTCAGGAGACTGGAAGCGAGCCTGGGATGTTGAGAAAAAAGACCAGTAAGATTCTTTTATAAGGTTTAAGCTTGACCTTTCAACACTTACTATGTTAAATGTCTTAAAGCTGCATTGAATAGAATATGTAAATATATTTTTCCGTCGGCTTAAAAACCAAGCATTCTATAGTTTTGTAAACATTTGAGATTGCAGATTTATAGCCTTATGAAACTCATTTTGGTAGTCTGGACACCAAAATAAGAATGGGAGTTGATATGAAACATAATTAATGAAATATATCTATTTCTTTTTTTAATGCAGCTTTAAATGTGTATTTCATCTTTCAATCTCCACAAAACTGTCCATTACTTTTAGGGAAAATGTATAAATATGTACTGACTGAATAGTAAACAGTGCAGACCTTGTGTCGACTGATCTAGGTCTGCACTGATGGCATGGGTAGAACCTCTTGCTGCAGGGTTTAAAAATAAGAGCATGGGGCATCCGTGGCCGAGTGGTTCAGGTTATTGACTTCAAACCACTTGCCCCTCACTGCTGTGGGTTCGAATCTCGACAGGGACTTAAGATTCTTTTATGCGAGGAAACTATCCAGCTAGCTTATGGAATGTCGGTGGTTCTACTCAGGTTCCTGTTTGTGCCTGAATTAATGTACGGAAGGGCACCTGAGGTCTTCCTCAATCAGGAAAGCTGGAATGTTGCCATATGACCCATAATGTGTCAGTGTGACATAAAACCCAATGAAACAAAAATAAAAATAAGAGCATGTGTCTTTTATCTCTTTCTCTCTCGCTTCCTTGTTAGACAAGGGGCATAATTCTGAAAGTTATATTTTTGGAGTTATTGCCCTTTTTAACTTATAATATTTGACAAAATGTTTTTTTTTACCAGACTAGCATTAACACTGCGTTTAATTAAGTTCTATATTTCTTTGTACTGAGAAAAAATATTCAAAACAAGTATTACAATATTTCAGACCATCAGATGAAGGTATGCACATGGAGCCGGCGAAGCGACCAGGTAAATGTATGTGAATGCTTTATTAGTTACCTCCCTTTATTTATACATTTAAGTAAATACAGATTATAATCATTCTTAACTTAAGTAGAACAATTTTAGCATGTTTTGATTTTGTTTAAATAGATAAAAAAGAAATGCTAAATTTGATTTTGTTTTATAAAAATTGAAGGATTTTTAGCAGCAGATTTTTTTTATAAAATAATGCCTACAGTTTATGAATATAGAATTAGCCGCAGAATAATAATGAAATGTTTGTTTGCTACAATATAATGACATGTGAAACATTTTGTTTCAAATTATAAAAATAAAAGAGTAACATTTTAGCATGTTATAACTTCCACTGCTAAAAGTTATGAAACTTTAATATTGAAACCAGTCTGAATTGCTTGCAATTGATTGGCTGATGGCTGTCTTTGAAATTTGAAATTGACCAATAGGGAAGCTGCATTCAGGGACTGGTTTCAAAAATTTAGTTTCATAACGTGGGGTGCTCACATAGAGGTTTTAAGATTACTTTTTAAAATACTATGAAAAATGCTATTGATAACAAGTCATTTTATTGGCTGTATAAGGTTTAGGAGATACTGATGCATGCTTTATTAGCTTGAATATTACCCATTATTTATTGGAAAAATGAAAAAAAGATGAGTTAAAAATGACTCGAGCAATTAGGATTGTATTGAATGATTATTTCATATGTATATAAATTTATATAAATGTATGCATGCAGTGAATAAACAGCCTATGACATGTATTTACCAAAAGACATATGTTTTAAAATATAAATTTGTAAATCTTCACTTTAATATGGTTAAACACAGTTGTATTATTATTATAATACTCTATGTATATATATTAAGATTTGGAAACAGTGAATCCAGTTTTTAGCAACATGCATGTAAATAATAGGGTCTTGGGGTTTAAATCAATGAGTACCTGAATGTTTTAAGACTGACAGGCTGTCATATTGTTTAAAAGCGGCTGTTGAAATTGGAAAACAGAACCGAATTGACAATTGTATGATGTAGATATAATTTACTGAACATTTTTTCTTGTTAATTGAATTACCGTATAAGAGGTTAAGTTAGCAACGCAGGAATATTGGTGAATTTCGCAAATTGACAAAAATCGCTAAAATTTCCAACCAACCTGTCATTAAATTCTATCCTTGCATGATTCGCCAATATTTCCTCATGTGAAGTGTCTGGAATTTTAAATTCGCTAACTCTTCGAGATGCGGAAATATCCCCATATACAGTACACTATCAATTTTATGTATTTACTCATTATATAATAAGTCAATGACGCTCAGCATTTAACGTTAGAATCCCAAGTACAGAATTTTTTTCTGTGTATATTTGGTTAAGATAAATATGTTTAATGCCTGCTCTTCTATACGGCTGGTTGAAGAAAAACGTCTAGAGTGTTTAAAAAAAAAGAAGAAAAAACAACTGGTTCAAATTGAGAAAAAAGAAGAATGTTTATTTCATGAGACAAAAGATTATTTTTTATTTCTGCATGGAGTGAAAAGAAAATTTAATTAGAATGTGATATAATTCTTAATAGCGTAATGATACATTTTTTGGAGGATATTTCCATAATTTGACTGGACAGAAAATAAATAAGATAAACTCACAGACTGATGTCTCATGATTTGCTCCCGTCTTGAAAAAACCTTGACTTTGATGTTTGTCTTAAAAAAACCTTGAAAAAGACATTTTGCCTCAAAAATCCTTGAAAAAACTTTAAAAATTGATTAACTTGTCATAAAGATGTTTTTGAATTTTTAAATTTAAATATTGATAGTAAAAAAAAGAAGTTAAAAAATAGTTAAAATCAAAGGAAATGTATTTTTAGCTCACCTGTCACAAAGTGACAGGGTGAGCTTTTGTGATCGCTTTTCGTCCGGCGTCCGTCCGGCGTCCGTCCGTCCGTCCGTAAACTTTTACTTTAAATGACATCTCCTCATAAACCACTAAGCCAATTTCATCCAAACTTCACAGGAATGTTCCTTTGGTGGTCACCTTTAAAAATTGTTCAAAGAATTTAATTCCATGCAGAACTCTGGTTGCCATGGCAACCGAAAGAAAAAACTTTAAATATCTTCTTGTAAAAAAACATAAGAGCTAGAGCTTAGATATTTGGCATGAAACATCTTCTAGTGAGTGTCTACCAAGTTTGTTCAAATAAAAGCCCTGGGGTCAAAATTGGCCCCGCCCCGGGGGGTCATTGATTTTCCCTTTATGCATATAGTAAAAACTTAAAAAATCTTCTTTTAAAGAACCCAAAGAGCTAGAGCTAAGATATTTAGCATGAAACATGTTCTAATGGGTGTCTACCAAGTTTGTTCAAATAAAAGCCCTGGGGTCAAAATTGGCCCCGCCCCGGGGGGTCATTGATTTTCCCTATATGCATATAGTAAAAACTTAAAAAATCTTCTTTTAAAGAACTCAAAGAGCTATGGCTAAGATATTGAGCATCAAACATGTTCTAATAGGTGTCTACCAAGTTTGTTCAAATAAAAGCCATGGGGTCAAAATTGGCCCCGTCCCGGGGGGTCATTGATTTTCCCTATATGCATATAGTAAAAACTTAAAAAATCTTCTTTTAAAGAACCAAAAGAGTTAGAGCTTAGATATTTAGCATGAAACATGTTCTAATGGGTGTCTACCAAGTTTGTTCAAATAAAAGCCCTGGGGTCAAAATTGGCCTCGCCCCGGGGGTCATTGATTTTCCTTATATGTGTATAGCAAAAACTTAAAAAATCTTCTTTGAAAAAACCCAAATAGCTAGAGTTAAGATATTAAGCATGAAACATCTTTTAGTGAGTGTCTACAAAGTTTGTTCAAATAAAAGACCTGGGGTCAAAATTGGCCCCGCCCCGGGGGTCATTGATTTTCTTTATATGTGTATAGCAAAAACTTTAAAAAAATCTTCTTTTAAAAAGCCCAATGAGCTAGAGCTTAGATGTTTAACATGAAACATCTTCTTATGGGTGTCTACCAAGTTTGTGCAAATAAAAGCCCTTGGGTTAAATTGGCCCTGCAACGTTGGGGGGAGGGGGGTGGGGTTGGGGGGGGGGCCTATATACAGGTGAGCGACCTCAGGGCCATCATGGCCCTCTTGTTAATTATTGTTGACGATAGGGCTTCTAAGTTTGCATGTTACTCATGTTTGTCCTTAATTTTGAATTTTAAGGCCTAAAATAAACTTTAAATGAAATTTTGCTTGAACCACATATAAATAAGTTTTATTATTGCATAATAGAAATTTGGAATTTTATTGTTATCTTTAACTTTCCCAAGTTGAATTACATCTCTTGAATTGTATTTATTTTAAGTCATATCCTTACAAAATGAATATTATATATGTAAAAGCATGCATAGGAAACATGTATCAGTAAATATAAACTTATTTATTTAAGCTGGGCGAATAGGAAGTGGTAGATTTGACCGCGGGGAACGAGATGACAGGCAGCGTGGCGACGCCCCTGGTACTATGAAAGGTAGTTGCTTGGCAACTAGGGCATCATTTACGCATGGCGTGTATTTATTGCATACAGTAGTGGCATTAACACTGAAAGATTGCATAGTTTTTTTTTATTAATCAGAAAGAAAACCATCCCATATCGTTCATTTATTTCATTTTATATTATTGTATGGACAGGGTAAAATAAATGTAACCGCATCTTTCAATTATTTCTAATTTTGGCCATGTATATTGTATGTCACTAACATGTCCGAAGTTGACCTTTCTTTTGTGTGTTTTCCCCCCGATATTTCAGTGTTTTTGTTATATCATAAACCTGCGTCAGTTTGGTAAAACAGGATGGTCTTGACAGCAGATGGTCTTGTTGGCAAGTGTTTTGTCGTCCAATTGGTTGTACTTTAGCTATTTTTAGATTAATTTCTTCTTACAATTTTCAGCACCATTGATTATGAAGAGCAGGAATTATTTGATTGACCTTTATTTGATTGTGATTAAAATTTCCACATTAAGAATGTCAGACCCCAATGAGCATATCTGCAAGTTGCCATGTTTGTATTTACTCGAACAATGATGTGACAATGGAAAACACTCTTTCACAAGAATTTAACATGCAAATCATTACATGAATTGTGAATTTTTCTTGAAAATCTTTTGCTCATCTGGAGACATGCAGCTTTATGTAATATTTATTATAAAAACTGTTGAAAACAGCTTTAGGTTACAAAATATGAAAAGATGCAAAAATTGTCACTTTTGTACTTTGTCACTAGAAACATTTAATAAGATGGCCTCTGAATGGAATAATATTAGGATTTGATGAAGTAAAACATTTGTTAACTTCTATTGATTACAATTAAAGTTTTAATGATTGATATCAAAATCAAAACACTGGAATGCATAATTATGTAGTGAAATGTAGGTGCTTTTATGTAGTATGGCCATTATAGAATGGCATTATAGAATGGAGTTATAGAATGGAGTTATTTTAAGAGAGATCATCAAACAAGACATTTTTGAACATAAAGAGTTACTTGAAAATCTATTTGTTTACTAAAGTATAATTGTTTGCATACATTGAAAGAGCCTAAAGAGCTTGAACTAAGGATCTAATGCTAGAACCGTCTCTTTCTGCTGCTTAAACAAGGTATAACGGGGACTCATGGGCATCTGTGTCTGAGTTGTATTGATTGCTGACTACTAGTATATACCACTTGCCTCTCACAACTGTGGGTTCAAATGGGGCATTTGAGGTCTTCCTTCACCAGTAAAGTCACAATATGACATTAATAAATGTTGTGTGACTTAAAAGCCAATTGAAAAAAAAATCAAAAGGGGATTTGTGCTTAATGCCCATACACTTTTGTATTTTGGTCATGAGCTTGCATCCTAATATGTCACATATTCTGGTTATTCTAGGCAGTGGAATCAAAAATGATTTGAAAAAGCTAAAAATGAAGCTTTTGTCACTGTCATGCTCACATATAAACCAAGTATATGACTGAACTAAACTAATAAACCCACACTCTTAGGTCTAGGTTGTTTATAGATGTTTGGCCATCAAATTTTAAAAATGGGCTGTCTCTAACTATGAACAAAATATTTCTTGCCTTGCTTACTGCATATTTATTCTGACAAGTTAAATAGAGGAATATGAGTGGTCTTTGACATAATTTCTTTGACCTTATAATGTCAGATATAATACTTAAGGTTCAAAGTTAAGATCTATATCAGGATGGCATTTGTTTACTGATCTAAAATATTTGAGATTATTTTATTTTCATAATTCATCTGATGCTTTCAATGGTAATAGATAAGTGTTCTTTTTAGTTGTTATTTTCTAATATGTACATTGTTTGGTATTTGTTTATTGGGAATTTCTCCAAATTCTTGCATCTCATATTTTTCATATACATGTACTGTTTGTATTATTGTCTTGAGGTTAATTACATATCAATGGGAAACCAGTCTGAAAATGGAGCACTGCAATTGGTCAATCTCAAATTTGAATGGACCAGTCAGATCCATGAGTTATGTAGACTGGTTTCAAATAATGTGCTTAATTTTGGTTTTAATGTTTATTATGATTTCTTTTTTGTATTGAAACTTGAAGAATTTTCTTTGGACAAACTTTGTGCATGGTTTGAATTTCTTTTTAGCATGTCCATGAGTTATGAATTGAATGAAAAAGTTATTTTAGATGGTGGTTATATGATGTCTGATGTGTTTAATTATTTGTTCTGTTTAGTGATTTTGTGTTATAATTATGCCCCCATTTCGAAGAAAAGGGGGTATATTGCTTTGCACTTGTCGGTCCGTCGGTCTGTCGGTCCGTCGGTCCGTAGACCAAATGGTTTCCGAGTGATAACTAAAGAACCCTTAGGCCTAGGAACTTCAAACTTGGTATGGTGATTGGTCATGACCAGTAGATGACCCCTATTGATTTTGGGGTCAAGGGGTCAAAGGTCAAGGTCACATTGACCTTGTAAGCAAAAACGGTTTCCGATCAATAACTAAAGAACCTTAAGGCCTAGGAACTTCAAACTTGGTATGGTGATTGGTCATGATCAGTAGATGACCCCTATTGATTTTGGGGTCAAGGGGTCAAAGGTCAAGGTCACATTGACCTTTTGGGTAAAAACGGTTTCCGAGTGATAACTAAAGAACCCTTAGGCCTAGAAACTTCAAACTTGGTATGGTGATTGGTCATGACCAGTAGATGACCCCTATTGATTTTGGGGTCAAGGGGTCAAAGGTCAAGGTCACATTGACCTTGTAAGCAAAAACGGTTTCCGATCAATAACTAAAGAACCTTAAGGCCTAGGAACTTCAAACTTGGTATGGTGATTGGTCATGATCAGTAGATGACCCCTATTGATTTTGGGGTCAAGGGGTCAAAGGTCAAGGTCACATTGACCTTGTAAGCAAAAACGGTTTCCGATCAATAACTAAAGAACCTTAAGGCCTAGGAACTTCAAACTTGGTATGGTGATTGGTCATGATCAGTAGATGACCCCTATTGATTTTGGGGTCAAGGGATCAAAGGTCAAGATCACATTGACCTCTTGGGTAAAAACGGTTTCCGATCAATAACAAAAGAACCCTTAGGCCTAGGAACTTGAAACTTGGTATGGTGATTGGTTATGACCAATCAGATGACCCCTATTGATGTTGGGGTTAAGGGGTCAAAGGTCAAGGTCACATTGTACTTGTAGGTAAAAATGGTTTCCGATCAATAACGAAAGAACCCTTAGGCCTAAGGACTTCAAACTTAATATGGTGATTGGTCATGATCAGAATATGACCCCTATTGATTTTGGGGTCAAGGGGTCAAAGGTCAAGGTCACATTGACCTTGTAAGTAAAAACGGTTTCTGATCAATAACTTAAGAACGCTTAGGTCTAGGGTCTTCAAACTTGGTATGGTGATTGGTCATGACCAGCAGATGACCCCTATTGATTTTGGGGTTAAGGGGTCAAAGGGCAAGGTCACATTGACCTTGTAGGTAAAAATGCTTTCCGATCAATAACTTAAGAACCCTTAGGCCTAGGAACTTCAAACTTGGTATGGTGATTGGTCATGACCAGCAGATGATCTATTGATTTTGGGGTCAAGGGGTCAAAGGTCAAGGTCACATTGACCTTGTAAGTAAAAACGGTTTCTGATCAATAACTTAAGAACGCTTAGGTCTAGGGTCTTCAAACTTGGTATGGTGATTGGTCATGACCAGCAGATGACCCCTATTGATTTTGATGTTAAGGGGTCAAAGGGCAAGGTCACATTGACCTTGTAGGTAAAAATGCTTTCCGATCAATAACTTAAGAACCCTTAGGCCTAGGAACTTCAAACTTGGTATGGTGATTGGTCATGACCAGCAGATGATCTATTGATTTTGGGGTCAAGGGGTCAAAGGTCAAGGTCACATTGACCTTGTAGGTAAAAGCTGTTTCTGATCAATTAACTAAAAACGCTTAGGCCTAGGAACTTCAAACTTTGTATGATGATTGGTCGTGACTAGCAGATGACCCCTATTGAGTTTTGGGTCAAGGGTCAAAGGTCAAGGTCACATTGACCTTGTAAGTAAAAACGGTTTCTGATCAATAACTTAAGAACGCTCAGGCCTAGGAACTTCAAACTTGGTATGGTGATTTGTCATGACCAGCAGGTTAGCCCTATTGATTTTGGGATCAAGGTGTCAAAGGTCAAGGTCACATTGACCTTGTAAGTAAAAACGGTTTCTGATCAATAACTTAAGAACACTTCTGCCTAGGAACTTCAAACTTGGCATGGTGATTGGTCATGACCAGCAGATGACCCCTATTGATTTTGGGGTCAAAGGTCAAGGTCACATTGACCTTGTATGTTAAACCGGTTTCTGATCAATAATAAAAGAACCCTTAGGCCTAGGAACTTCAAACTTGGCATGGTGATTGGTCATGACCAGCAGATGACCCCTATTGATTTTGGGGTCAAGGGGTCAAAGGTCAAGGTCACATTGACCTTGTAGGTAAAATCGGTTTCTGATCAATTAACTAAAAACGCTTAGGCCTAGGAACTTCAAACTTTGTATGATGATTGGTCGTGACCAGCAGATGACCCCTATTGAGTTTTGGGTCAAGGGGTCAAAGGTCAAGGTCATGACCAGTAGATACTTGATAACCCTTATTAATTGTTTGATCACTGGGTCAGAAGTCATGCATAATAACCTTATCACATGACTAATTGGCTGCTGATAGGGGGCATACATGTTTTACAAACATATCTTGTTCTTGTTTGCCATTGGTTTATGGTTGAAACCCTGTCTTAAAAAACTCACATGTATAGGTAACGAAATAACAAATTATTTATTTTGAGCTTTTTGTTACGGACATTGCTGGCTAATTTAAGAAATCTTTTTTTTTTTATTGTACCTTTGTGCCCAAAATCGGATAAAGCATTAGAACTAGGGCTTCTGTAAACTTTAACCTTTTGGTGGCTTTTGTAGTAGGTTAGAGCTCAAGTACTTGTATAAAGTACACATGTACACGTAATACAGGCCAAAAAGCCGGAAAGTTTTCGTATAACTCTATTTTCAATACTGACAATAACAGAATGGAAAGAAAATAATAAAATGATATTTTGAAATGGGACTAAACAGCTAAAAAATAAAAAAATAATAAATCAGTAATATGAAATTGGACCAAACAGCTAAAAAAATGATAAATCTGTGTTATGAAATTGGACCAAACAGCTAAAAAAATGATAAATCGGTAATTTGAAATTGGATCAAGCAGCTTAAAGCCTTACCTTATTCATATAAGAAATATATTTAGTAGGTAGGGGTTCAAGAACATTTTATTATCCCCCGCCGAAAAATTTCGGCGGAGGATATAGAAATAGTCTCCGTCCGTCCGTCCGACCTTCCGTCCGTCCGTCCGTCCTTCCGTCCGACATTTTTGTCCGGAGCATATCTCTAAAAGTATTTGAGTTATCAACTTGAAACTTCATAGGTGGATAGACCTCATTGAGGAGGAGTGCAGTGCACAAGAATGATAACTCTACCTTGCATGATTTTTGAGTTATTGCCCTTTGTTATTTTTCAAAATTGATTTTTGTCCAGAGCATAACTCCAAAAGCCTATGAGATATTACATGAAACTTCATAGGTGCATAGATCTCACTCAGGAGGTGTGCAGTGCACAAGAATGATAACTCTACCTTTCATAATTTTTGAGTTATTGCCCTTTGTTATTTTTCATACCTAATTTTTCACCTGAGCATAACTCAAAAAGTGTTTGAGATATCAACATGAAATGTCATAGGTGGATAGATCTTATTGAGGAGGAATGTTGTGCGCAAGAATGATAACTCTTCCCTATACAATTTTTGAGTTATTGCCCTTTTTTTTTCATGCTATTTTGTCCAGAGCTTATCTCAAAAAGTATTTGAGGTATCAACTTGAAACTTCAAATGTGGATGGATCTCATTGAGGAGGAGTGCAGTGCTTAAGAATGATAACTCAACCCTGCATTATTTTTGAGTCATTGCCCTTTGTTATTTTTCAAAATTAATTTTTGTCCAGAGCATAACTCGAAAAGCCTTTGAGATATAAAAATGAAACTTCATAGGTGCATAGATGTCACTCAGGAGGTGTGCCCTGCACAAGAATGATAACTCTACCTTTTATAATTTTTGAGTTATTGCCCTTTGTTCTTTTTCATACTTAATTTTTCAATTCAATTTTTTTCTCAAAAAGTATTTGAGGTATCAACTTGAAACTTCATAGGTGGATAGATTTTACTGAGGAGGGATGCAGCACACAAGAATGATAACCTACCTTGCATTATTTTTCAGTAATTGCCCTTTGTTATTTTCAGCCATCAGTATTCACATAGGTTTCAAATCTGTAATCACTATAGCCATCAGTTTCCTTACCAAAAGACCTCTTAAAATGGAATTATTCCGCTCTACTACATATACATTCTTCCAATGAGCAAACACATTCGGCGGGGGATGGCCATGTTGACATGGCTCTTGTTACAATGTTATTAGTTGTTTTGGTAGAAAGTCATTAAATTGTCATTTTCATTGTTTCTTTATTTTACTCCAAATTTGTCCTTGAGTTTCTGAATTACATTGCTTGTGTTGTATGGTCCCGAGTTGTGTTGGAATGTGCATCTTGTTTTTAAATTTTATAGAAATACTTACCGTATTATGACAGACTTGGTCTTCCATAGTTTGTATTTGTTGTGCAGAATCAATAAAATAATAAAATTTTAGAACACATTAATAATATTAGCATTATATCTTGGATTTCCTGGAAAATAAAACTTCAGATCATTTAATTATTGATTAATATACTTATATCTGATCATACAAGTTACTAACTTGAAAACACCATGTTTACTCCCATTTATTACTCTGACATAAGTACATGTATATGCTAGTTTATATTATATACATCATAACATGTATACTGCATAATTTTGTACATGTAGAAAAATGTTATTTAAACCATACCATAAAACATCTAAAAACATCCCTATATGCTAGTAATCTCTGTATAGAGCTGGTTGTGGGAGACATACGGTAGTAAAAAAAACATGTATTTGAATAGAGGCTGCATTGTTCAGTTTTGTAGATGATCAAGTAAAATTTAAGCTTATAGAAACTCTATACTGTGCATAGATCATGGTGTTTATTTCTTAGTCCATTTAGATACAAGAGTAGTATCATTTCGAATCCAAGATGGTGTAATTGAAAAAGATGATGTTTTCTTAGAATAAGTTAATATTAAATCAAGAAGTGTGTTATTGTATATTGTAATCTAGAGAGATGTCAATATATATTTTTATCAAGTTGAGATTGTTCTGCAAGGCATTGCTCTAAAGAATTATCTTTGATGTTTTACATGTATTTACATGTGTTATCCCATATAGACCAGAAAATAAAAGAATTTCATATTTTTCCTTTCATACATATTTTTGAAATTATTTTTTCACCATCAATTGTTATTTCAGGGGTTGACAAAGATGAAAAAGAGAAGCCACCAGGTGTTGGTAGAGGTCGTGGAAGGGGTCGTGGTAGGGGTCGAGGGCGAGGAAGAGCAAAGGATCGAGCCAGAACAAATTCTGACGAGGGTAGACGGGTCGAGAACAACAATGACCTTTTAGTTATCAAAATTGATAACACTCCAGGTAAAAATGGAGATTCTTCTGTAGAAGTGGAATACTCTGACTCTGAGACCCCTATCATCACAACAAGAAAACAGGGTCAGCGACCTCATTCCATTGCCGGTCATCCCACTACACCCGGTGATAAAGATGAGCTGTGGTGGGACGAAGACTTTGAAGACATTCCTCTCACAAGCACAGAGCCTGACAGTGCTGATGCATACATTGAAGACATTCTCAGTGACACTCATGAAGACGAGTTTCATGACAGTCAAGAACATGGGGAGTTCATTGAAGATGGTCAATTTGAGGATATAGATGGTTATCATGGTCACCCAAAGGTTCAAGAGCATGTCAGTCAAGGGGATACGGATGAGTGGGAGGATTGTGAAACTGAGGAATTCTGGGGAAGTCAGGCATCTACTGATAGTGCTGGTCTAGGGAGCAAGGGAACAAAAAGTCCTGCAAACCATTCCTTGTCACCTGAAGATGCCTTGAGGCTGAATGTAAAGAATTTGAATCCAGATGCCCCAGAATTCACACCCACATCCCCTTTGTCACCTTTGTCTCCAGAAATGATGAAAACTCCTGAAGGTCATGTAAAGGTTCCAAATTGGGCAGAGGAAATGAAGACTCCAACTAGCGGAGAAAAGAACATATCATTTAAGTCAGCTAGTCCGGCATCAAATGAGGATAGCCCAAAAGGGACAAAGGGAACAGACAGTCTTCCAAGAAGAATAGAAAAAGACTTTGAATCACCAAAGAAGGAGGAAGATCAAAGTCAAGAAAAGAAAGTAGAGGACACTGAAACTGAAAAAAATAAAAAGGTAGATACAGAGGTAACTGATAAAGATAATTCTCAAGAAGAGAAAACAATAGATGACTCAAGTGAAAAAGAGTCTGAAAAAACTGATCAAAAAGAATCAGAAAATTCTCCAAGCGGAGAAAATGTGGTGAGCAGTTCAGGGGAGACAACTGAGGACAAGAGTTCTTCAGGGGAAACAACTGCTGAGGAAGTGAAAGAAGTCGAAGAGGAGACTAAACAGCAGATGGCCAAATCTGAACAAGATTCAGACAGTAAAGATGGCTCTTCAGAGGTGGAGCTGAACATTGCTCAAGAGTCTACTGGGAATGTAGAGAGTAATAAAGAAGGGCCAGATGAGGACATTAAAGTCCCAGATGAGGGTAAGGGCAAACAAGTATCTTCTTTCAAATTTCCTGGTTTAGAAATGATAGTATCAAATGTGTATGAATTTTTGTGTACATTTTTTTCCCTCTCTAACATGTCTGAAATAAGATAAAAGTTTGATTTCTAGCAAAAGAAATAATATAGGAGACTGTGTTTACAGATTAAGATAATCAGTTTTATTTAAAATTAATTATAATTTATATTTGATTGTGTTGATTACTTGAAGCTTCAGAGCTTATTTTGACCTCCCTTGAGTGCTTGTACTTGAACTTTCTGTACCGAATGTAAGGGACAATAGTTATAAACTTATAATACCTTGATGAAAGAGACCGACACCTTTACCATTAGGTCACCACTGCCTTTAATCTGTTGATTGAATTCAAAATGAAAGTATAAATCAAGAAGTTTAGAAGGCAGTTTGTGTTTATCAGCATTTTGACATATCTTGTAAATGATTCGCAATGGATAATAATTATACATGTTTCATGAATACTAATTTAATGTGTTAATTAATTTTTGTATATATTTTATTTATAGGGCCGAAAGATGGCGAGGACAAGGAGTCCAGCTAAATTCATCATATACATGGCATCATTGTCATCTTGTAAGTTGTTTTAGTATATTTGTTTATAAATAGTACTGTAAAATCATTATCATTCGTAGGGAACTAATTTTTGTGCTTTTCGTGGGTAGTCAACCCACAAATTTAAGATCAAAAGCGATTTCACTTTGTTTGCTTTAAAAGAATATTTGGCATCACATTATTTACATTTTACCTTTAAGGGAAAAAAGTCCATGAAATTAAGAACCCATTTAAATGTTCTTTGTGTCAAAACCGCGAAATTTCATGCCCATGTAATTACGTGAATTCACAGTACACCGCCTCCGTGGTTGAGGGGTTAGAGTCGATGACTTTTAATCCAGTAACCTCTCTGGCGTGGGTTCGATCCCCGGGAGATGCTTTGGTAGTTTAGCACGGAGGAAGGTAGTCTAGTACTGGTGTAACTCTCCAGGAACGATGGTTAGGAAACTACCCGCCTATATGACTGAAATACTGTTAGGAAAAGGCGTAAAATGAAACAAACAAACAAACATTTGTAGTTTAATGGGGAGTTTAGTAATGTTCCCTGTGTTGCTGGCATGACATTGAGAGCCTTTATCCAGTACAAATAAAAATACTTTCAATTAAATATTATCACAGATTTCAATTATTTTAACACAGTTGGTTGTAAAGAATTACAGCATTGTTACTCTTAAATTGGAGTGGACTCATAAAGATTTTATTTCTTCTTCTTTTCAGTTTTTGAAAGAACTGATGCTTCGTAAAAATGGAAATACTTTCGAAACACCTGGAACAAAGAGACGTATGAGTTTATAGATGAAATTGTTACAAAGTTGACAGCAGTTGACAGCAGTTGACAGTGACAGAGGTTGTGATAAATGATACGATAATGTCAGAACTGAACTGTTTGTTATAGAATACAATGCTTAGATTCGTCTGTACTGACTTTTCAAGTCTTACGTTTAATTAGTGCTATTTATGTACAAATTAATTGTCAATGTAATTGTAGGCAGTTTTTTTATATATATTTTATACTTACAACATCATAAGAAATTAGTGAGTTGGTGTAAAGATATATTAGAATTAAAACAATATACACCTATGTAGCGCACATTCACGGAAAAGTAATTTAAATGTAAATTTTTATGCATATTTTTATGCATATTTGTCATACATATGTATCTTTTTGGATAATTAAGGGCTTCCTTTTGTTAAATTTATCAAAAGGATTTTTTTAAGAGTTGAAGAATCGTTGATATACATGTTTTTTGAATTTGTTGATAGTGAAAGAAACATTTATTTTAATTATTATGGTATTACATGGTAAAGTTGAATTTTATCAATATTAGGAGTTTTTTTTTTGTTTTTTTCCCCCTCTAACATGTCTGAAATTTATTTGAAGATATCATTTTTTTCCCCCATCATTTTAGTCGTTCATGAATGTATTTCTTCGATTGTTTCACTTTTTCTCTTATTAACACTTACAAGAGTATTTTAGCCTAATGCACCTCCAACTGATATTGTAATTTATAAATAAATGTACTTTTATATTTTGAATGTAATATCACTTAAGATAATAATTCAACATTAAGCTAATTATCAAAATGTATTAAAAATGTATCAAAATATTACTAATACAAGTTATTATAAACCAATCTCTTTTAAAGATCTTTAACATGGGGCTTCCCCAGTCAATATCTCGGTACCTATGGGCATTGACTTTACTGTTTTATACGATTTAGGTTTGTATATATATATTCCGGGGATACAAATCTAGATCTTTTGAAACAGTTAGAAAAAATAGTGAAAATGACCCCAGTATAACAGTATAGTTGAAATACCAGTTACAACTTGTACAAGATAAAGATCTGTTTGCAATGTTTTGGACTGAAACTTCTGGGTATCTTTTCCTGGATATATTTTTTTTAAAAAAGTGGTCAAAGAAAATTTAGATGTAGGTCAATAACGTTATGTTGTTGGCGATAACAAAGAACCATATATTTTGACAGTTAAAAGAATTGTATTTATAAAATTGAAACAGTTGTACAATTACCGGTATGTAGAATAGATAAGATTTTATTATTATGATTGGATTGTATATTTATTGAATGAGAAGAAGTTGTGATTACACACTGATAGAATTGTATTTATAGAATTGTATTTACAAGAATTGTATTAATAGAATAGATAGTATTGTATTTACTATCTGAGAATTGATAGAATTGTACATGTATTTACAAATGATGAAATTTTTATTACAGAATGATATAAATTTGTAATTACAGAATTGAATTGATAGAATTGTAATTACAGAATTGAATTGATAGAACTGTAATTTCAGAATTGAAAGAATTGTAGGTACAGAATTGAATTGATAGAATTGGTATTAGAGAATTGAATTGATAGAATTGTAATTACAGAATTAAAATAATTATAATTACAGAATTGTATTGATATAATTGTATTTACAGAATGATAAAAAATGTAATTACAGAATGATAAAGAATTGTAAATACAGAATTGACAGAATTGTGTTGACAGGATTGATGGATTAATCATAAGAATTAATAGGATTATGTGTTTACAAAATGACAAAAAAGAACAACAACATAGTTACAGAATGATAAAGAATTGTAATTGCACAGAATTGATAGTATTGTATTTGTAAAGTAAAAAAAAGGGCAATGTAATATATGTAAATTACAGGCAGTGTTTTATGGTTGGCCTAACACTATACATAGTGCCTTAAACTTGATTCAAAATCAAAAGGAAAACTTGTGTTCAATAGAAATAATAATATAAAAATTGTACGAGTTTGGACAAATGAAACTAAACAAATTTTAATTGGGGCAATATTATATTTGTTTTTTTCAGATTAGTCAGTTTAAAAACCAATTTGTTTGAGGATTTAGTAGAGATATGGATTATGCTGTTGGAATGCAAGAAAAGGGAAATACTTCTGTCAGTAAATTAACAATTTACTTCATTTTGAAGGAACAGATTTAAAAAATGGTGCTCTATAAAGATATGTACAAATCAGTTTTTAAATAGATTTTTACACCTGTTATTTATACTTGAATGAAATACACAGCTGTTGAACAGTTTATTCAAAAGACTTTTGCTTTCCTTTATTTAACTTGGATGTTGTGATCTTTCTTTCGATATACACAATGTAGTTGTAGCCATGCAATGTTCAGAAGGACATGATTTTTATACATATGTATTGTAAAGAATTTTAATTTATTCTTGCCAATTTTTTTTGTGACTGAATATCTTGGCTATTTACTTTTTTCTTTCCCTTTGAGTTATAATGCTTTTGGTATTGTGTTTTGATATCTAAGGCTTTTGTGAATAGTTACTGAATGTATAAGACGGGTCACTTATAAGTCGGGGGTGAGGTCTTAGTTTTTTTAATAGCATACTGTCTTGATCAGTGAGATGTTTTGTAACCATTGATACTTTTGCATTTGATTTGTTACTGATAAAGATGTCTGAAAGGTAATAAGGTATTTATTTGTTATGAAGAAATACACCAATGAAATAGTGTAAATTTCAGCCTTTAATTACTTTTAGGCAAGAATCGTTTAGATATTGATTAGTGTTCAAGTGAAATCAGTATATTCATAATATTGTAGCAAGATTTTTAGCTTTATATACATGCGCAAACTTGCTTTCAAGGTTTGAAATCAAGTTTTTCTATTACCTCCCTTTTCTGTTCATTTTCTTCTCTCCTGTATATATATTGTTTTTACAGTTTTTGAGGAAAAAAAATCATTTTGTAAAAATACCCCTTTTTATTCTGATGGATTGAAATATGAACCATTTCTGCCATGGTTTCAAATTCCGAACTTTGCTTGAATTAAACTGAATTAAAAAATTTCTGCAAGTTTGTGATCTAGCGTATGTAAGATGAAAAAAAGATTGTGCTTTGTTTAAAAAAGAATAGGAAACAAAATCAAAAGAAATTTATAAAAAGTGTGAAAAAAAAAAATGCAAAAGATGGGGAAAAAAAATAGCCAAAAAAATGACAACGAAAAAAGAAGTCATATCATTTGGGTTTAGGTGCATATTTGAATTTGATTCAACTTTTTTTCTGTAAATTTTGTGTCATTTTTCTTCATCATGTAATTATACTTACATATATGATACATATTTGTAGCCATCTGTGTAAAGAATGTTGCATTTATACTCATTTTTTTGTAATGACATACACACATCTCATTGTATGACGTATGCTGTAGTCATCTGATCATAAATGACGTATGCTGTAGTCATCTGATCATTGTATGACGTATGCTGTAGCCATCTGGTCATTGGGTGACATGTGCTGTAGTCATCTGATCATTTTATGACGTATGCTGTAGTCATCTGATCATTTTATGGCATATGCTGTAGTCATCTGATCATTGTATGACGTATGCTATAGTCATCTGATCATTTTATTGACGTATGCTGTAGTCATTTGATCATTGTATGATGTATGCTGTAGTGTTGGGAAGTGATATTATTTATTATAACAAACTAGGCAGATTATATATGGAAATAAAAAAAAAATCAAAACTGTATTTAATTTTGTTATATATCATTCATCCCTTACCTAAATACTCCATTTGGAAATAACTTTGTAAAGTTGACGTAGAGGAACTTCATGTTTTTTTCTGACAAAAGTGTGTTGCTGTGGAGAGGTTGTACTTTATGTCCTCATAGTTGTGAATACAACATACAATCATCCTGATTCTGTAAATATTTTTATCTACAGTTTTGAAATGAGGGCTCAGAGCCCTAGTTTGAAGCGGTCTCTTACTTTATAATCAGTTTTAAATTGTGAACCTAAAAAAAGGGGAACAAATCTGACTTTACAGTCCATGTAATTGTTTGCAGTTCTCTCCCTTGGACCTGTCCAGCAGATTTAATTTTTTTTTTTTTTGCATTATCCTTCAGACTTTGTTACCGAGTTGTTTGTTACACCCATAATTTTAAAAGAGAAAAGTTCAGCACAAACACTAACTTCGAAGGACTGTTTCGCATTAGACTTATTTGGCATATCAGTTGCTCAAAGTTCAAAATATTTGCATTCAAGTCAAGGGTCCCATAATTTTTGTGAGCTTGTTTAAAGCGTCACTCTCATTAACATTTATACTGCTGAATTTGTGTAATGGATTTGCCCTGCTTTGAATTTGGAACAGTCCATTTAAAATTTAAGGGATTTCAATATTGCAATACCAAATTGAGCTACCAACAACTTCTCAACCCAGGGATTGCAGGTATATACCCTACCGCAGTATTGACCATGTTTCTCCATATGAGCCGTGTCATGACAAAACCAACATAATGGGTTTGCGACCAGCATGGATCCAGACCAGCCTGTGCATCCTGATCAGGATCCATGCTGTTCACTATCAGTTTCTCTACTTGTAATAGGGTTTGTAAGCGAACAGCATGGATCCTGATCAGACTGCGCGGATGCGCAGACTGGTCTGGACCCATGCTGGTAGCAAACGCATCATGTTGGTTTTGTCGTGACGCGGCTCATATGACACCAGTACTGGGTAAATCAACGAAGCAGACTTGTGACTGGTTTAAGTTATTTGCAATCGTGCTATAATAAATACTTTTTTACTTATGTTGGCATGACCTGATCTGGGAGTAAAGTCAAGCTATCTTCTGAACTTCAACATCTAGGACGGATGATTTACCACGAGGCCTCCCGCGGAAAAAGTATTCATATACTAGTATTACAAAGAGACAGTCAAGTTAAACTACATTTATAGTAAAATAAATAGGATACTGATTGAGTGCAATTTCAATAATAAATTTATTAAACGAGTTGAATAGATTTTTTTTAATCAACAAGTCCAAATATTGTATTGAAGCTAGTAGTAAATGAATATAATATTCCACCTATCACATATCCAAAGTAAGAACTGTTAATGGTAAAAAGAATCTATGCTTATAGTGTAGTGCTAATATTTTAGCACATCTTTTTGCTTTATTTGTATGATGCAATTTATGATGTCACATCAAAAAATCTAAGTTCATAGGGATATAATTCTGAAAATATTCTTGTTAGAGTTATGAATCTTATCTCAATTTAGATGTGGTTGATGAAACTGCGTCTAGACAAGCCAAAGAGATGCATGGCTTTGCCGTTCTTACAGTGTCGCAAAAGGGGCATGGGTATGTGATAAAAGAACAACACAGAAAGTAGGTAAAAATAGCATCTGTAATTGCACAAGACCAAACTTTATATAAAATTAAAATAAAAAACAAAATTTATGAACAAATTATAAAACACTGACATGTCACATATTGAACATACATGTATACATGAACATTCATCAAAATTTATGAAAATTCAAAATATTTAACGAATTTTCATGTCTCAGACTGATAAAGATCATTTAAGCACCTACATGATCTAGGGCAATAAAAACAGAGTTATCTGCCCAAGTTTTAAATAGATTATTATTTAAAAAAAAATTTCACACATTTATACAATTTCTTGATGAATGTCTTGGTTTAAAAATGGAATGATAAGAATAAAATAGTGTTTCATAACAATCTAGTAATATATATAAACATTTCATAGACTAAAACATGGTTATAATTATTTGTACTTAAAGCCGGATAAGTAAAACATTTTTCCGTTTGTAAAAAGAAAAATTATCAATAAAATTTTCATAAATTCCTCATTATTCAGGTACTTCTGCTGTAAAGTTCGAAAAAATAAACATTTCATTATTCGCATCTGGACAATTTTTTTTAATTCAATCCGAATATATTTTGTGTAATAATATAGCTTATGACATAATCATTGTGTAATGTATACCGGTAATGTGTAATAAAATCCCCGTTAAGTGACATATGCTGGAGTACAATAATGCATGTTACATGTTTTTGGCATGGTTAACATTTTTGGAACCAGTCAATTATTAAGAAAATTATGGGAACCAATCTGATATTAAAAACTTGTCGTCTGCTTAAAAATTTGTTGTAGTAATGTAATGTATCAATTTCAAAATAATATCAATCTAACACAAAAGCGACTAGATAATTTGTTTGCATGCTATTTAATTAATGTACAGTGTTCGTACATTCATATGTTTAATGCCCCTTTGAAGAGGTACTGTTTAATCTAATATCAAATGTACAAAGACAACTTTTAATACAACTCACAGAGAATATCAAAAATTCTAGAAATTTAAAAAAACTTTAAAAATGCCAATATTAACCCAAATGTGCCTCACATATTGCAATTGATATTAAATTTAATTTAAAATTCTTACAGGATAAAGTTTTCTTTCTAACGAAAAGGTCTTGAAATTTTAGTGTTTTTAGATTTCAAACTTAAAAGCCTATGTGAAAAAGTTTTGAAATCAGTTATTTAGAATTACAGATTAGATTCGGCAACAAAACATACATATATATGGCAATTATTTAGCTTTGCTAAATGTAACAACATCATGTACAACTTATACGAATATAATTATATAATGTATATAAATGTATGTAGACAAGTCAATCCCCATTTAAACTCCATCATTCATACTGCTTATTAGTTAATCTTTACAGATATATCAAATAGAGTTATTCCAGAATCACAAATATTTGGGTTTTTCCCAATCTTATCCGAGGGTACAAAAAACATTTATCTCTGCAGCTTTACGGTGCACTAGACTTCAGAATAGAGTGATAAACATGCTGTGCATATTTTTTACATTTTTACCAAGTTGTAACTGTACAAGTTTGTTTGTTAGAGATGGGAAAAAAACACATTCTGTAAAAGTTTGTTTGTAACCTCATATTAGATGGGGAAAAAACACATTCTGCAGAAGTTTGTAACCCCTGATTAGATGGGAAAAAAACACATTTGCTTAGTTCTGGATAACATCTGTACTATATAGAAAATATATATGTAGTTATTTTTACCAACTTTGCAGTTACTGTACAGTGTTATCAGTACAATGCCTTCTCTTTAGCATTAATAGTTTCAAAATAAAATTGGACCCGTGAATTATCACCTGTGCAGATGGGAAAAATGTAAATATGAGCCGCGTCATGACAAAACCAACATAGTGGGTTTGCGACCAGCATGGATCCAGACCAGTCTGCGCATCCGCGCAGTCTGATCAGGATCCATGCTGTTCGCTATCAGTTTCTTTACTTGTTATAGGGTCTGTAAGCGAACAGCATGGATCCTGATCAGACTGCGCGGATGCGCAGACTGGTCTGGATCCATGCTGGTCGCAAACCCACTATGTTGGTTTTGTCATGACACGGCTCATATATCCATTAAGGCAAGAATAATAATTGAGAGTATGCCTGAAATAGTAGAATCACAATATCTCTAAATGCTCTATCATCTTGACTTTTACTACAAGAATGCCCTAGGCCTATTTATAGAAACAAAACACTCTAAATAGCACACTTTTTTTTGTTCATAATCTCAAATGCCAATTTTATTACCCCATTTTTCTTTCAATTTCCACACTTAAATAAATTTAGGAATGAAAAGTGTCATTATTGGGTACCCTGTTAGCAGAAAATCACATTTTTTTCTAACTTCTTTTTGAAGAACTCTTTTTTATGTTTTCCATACTGAAGAGCTACTCTTAAGAAGTACTTTATTAACTCAAATATGAAGAGCTAGTCTATATCTTCAGTTCTTCTTGATAATTTTTTTTATCAGTATCTATCTCCCTTTAGAAAACAAACTTGCAAGTAAAGAAAGTTTTTATCACATCGCTTTCTATGTACATGTACAGAAAACTAAAGTTCTGACATCCAAAATGTTATCTGCTATATGCCACCTTGTTCCTGAAATATACTTCTTTAACACCAATGCAAAGAAAACCCCTCGAAACATTTGAACATTTATGTGGCACTTTTTATCATATTATGCTTAGAACTAGTCTCATTTACACATATGTATCGCATATTCCTGACACTTGACACGCTAACTGTATCTAGGGCATCTTAAAACATGCACAGTACATGTCCGTCTGCTTTCTCCAATATAACCTGTACAGCGACACCTGTATTGTACTTTTTGAGGAGAAATGGCGTGTATTTCTAAAAGATCTTCCTCACCACCTTCAATTGAGCAAAATGCGAACAATCCAATGTTTGTCTGAAAATAAAAACAAATTTTAAAAATTAATGCTACAGTTAGCCTTTAAGTTCGAAACAGAATGAATTGTGTAAATATTCCATCCTTTTGTTAAAAATTGAGTTAAAACAGAAAATAAATAATAACATGGCCAATTTTTTGTTGCTCGCTGCCATGCTTAAAATGTACCTGTAAGTTTTATCACCTTGTATCTCTTTATTAAATCATAAAGGAAGAACTTTTGGCAGATTTGAATGTTCTTCAAGAATAAAGCTTTGCTGTAATTTTTTCAGTACTTTATTTTTCTTGGTCATTTTTTTCCCTACTGCAATGCATTATTTTTTTGCAAGTACCATTTTTCAACAAATAGCTTTAATCATTGAATTTAATCTCCTTTCCTTTTTGCCTGGCAATCAAGACTAACACTTAACCTGCAGTCAATTTTCATCTTCATATCCCTTAAACTGATATTAAATGGTCTGTTCCAACATTAAACCTGGACAAATCCATTCAGGAAATTAGGCAGGTTAAGGGCTAAAGTGAAGTAAATCATGGCAGTATACTTACGTCAAGATCTACTTCTGTAGGTAGCCAGATACTGTATGACGGGAACCGATCTGATGCAACAGCTTCGCTCGAATGGTTATAATAGGAACATTGGGAAAAATTGGCTACACCCTGTGGTCCCTGAAATAATACAGAAATATAACTACATGTATCGTAAAACTTAGTTGTTTCCATGATCTTATGGTCAATTCTGAAAAAATGTTTCATCATGGAATATCTCTGTTATTTAACACACGTGAATATTGTACATAGACAGAATAATAATGTTCTGGAAAAACATATAATGCTTCTATTTTAAGTAGGGTTTTATCCGATAAGCTATTATTTGGTGCATGCACCATTCGCATTTAAGAAAATATGCTTCCACATTTCTTTCCAGGAAACAGACATATTCTTTTAAAAATTTCAAAAAGTAATTTTTGCGGCAGATATAGATCTATAGCTAAATACATTTTAATATAAACATAAATATGATTAAATAAATTTTTTATGCCTCACAAGAAAAACCAAACAAACTTACCTGAGGACCTTCCTGTTTCGATATATTATGAAGTTGTAACTGTAACGTCATATTGAGTGATGCGATATTATCAGTAACATTCGTGTTCAAATCTTCAATATTTTGCAAGTTTACGAGGACACCATGTTGTGTTGAAGCTAATTGGGTATTGAGAGCTTCTATTTGTGTTTTTGAGTAACTTTCAACAGTTTTCACTTTGTCTATGAGGTCGGACAGTATCTTCATAGTGTCATTACCATCGTCAAATGAACTCAGCTGAAAAAAAGACGTACAGATATTTTAGTCATTAAAGATTAGCATCATACAAAGATTCAATCCTTTACTTGCTGAATTTCTTAAATGGTCTTGTCCTGCTTCCATATTTGGAACTGTTTATTATCAATGTTGGGGATATGAAAATAAAACTTTTAGTTAATCAGCCAACAGTAAAGAGCCTGGATAGACTGCAGGGATGTACAGGCTGACCTGGCTGTATACTGATGACAAAGGCTAATCACTTTCTGTTCCTGCAGGTAGTCTATCAATGATGGTAGTCTATCAATGATGGTAGTCTATCAATGATGTGAAATGCCATTTTTGGCAAGTTTACTGACAAGTATTGAAATAGTAATATATCATGTTTTATCAAAACAGGTAGCTGTACTTGTTTTTGCTCTTTTGCAATCCTTACATGATGGAAGTCCTGAATATCAATGAGTGAATTATATTTTTTACATGGAAAAGTCCAAAATCTGACATGTAAAGCATGATTTTGTATCTTGCCATTTTGGCAATCTATTGTGATATGTTAATATAATGAGCATAGTGCCATTGGCCTCCTTCCTCTAACCAATTATAAAATTATGCCTAAATCTCAAACAAAAAGTACCCTGCTTTTTTTCTGCAGTCAATGTCAATTTGAATGAGCAAAAGGCAATCTACAATCAAATAGAAAATGCCAAAATCTCCAGGAAATCTCAGCAGCAAATGACACCTCGCTGAACAGAACTGTCTTGCAGTCATGACAATAAAAACAGATTGTTTTCTCTAAAGCTATCATTAATACCAGAGCCAATCCTGTACAGAGACCTGATTTTATTTCAATACTGAAAGAGTGATTTGGTGTCAGATGCACGAATTCTGTAGACAAAATAATCAAATATTTGCAAAGAATATTCATACCAATTTTCCTTTTATTCATTTAAAATAGGATGGATATTTGAACAAGTCAATAACATTGTTAACAGAAATGACATAAACCCAATACAACAGATTAAACATGCAAATATCAGTAAAATTGATAGATGTCTTTACAAAGCCAAATACATGACCTTCACTGTGCATAAAAGTAGAAAGATCTATTTTTAGCATCAATGTCCTTCACTACACATATTTCCTGAAACCCCATGCAAGGGTCCATGTTAGTCTGGAGTTCCTTCCCCTTACACTATGTTACAGTAAATGGAGGCGGGGAACTAGACTAGGGTCCATGGAAGATACAAATTCACAAAATATCAGTCATGTAATGGAGATGCTACCAGAAATGGCAAGTGAGATGGATTAACAACTGGAAGAAGGACAAACAAGTATATTACATTAAGAGCTAGCAAAGAATAATGGGAGGCATTTAAGCTTAAAAACAGATTGTTACCTTAGTGCAGTTACACATTAACTCCTGTTAAATTATGTAAGGAGTTAACCTATTATTGCACTAAGGTGACAAGATATCTGAAACTACAATGTATATACATATATACCAAAATATACATTTTTGTTAAATAATTTAGCTTAGTACTAGAACTAAGTAAAATAATAAATTAATAATTACCAAATTTTCTAATCTTGTGTAATCACTTGTAAGTTTCTGTACTTTGGGTGTTAGGAGAGGATCTGGATCATCTGAAAGATTGGAAAATTAAATATACCTTGATCATGGTCAAAAAAACGTTTAATAGTAAAATATAAGTGGAAGTATTATCACGTTCCATAAATTTTTGCCCCTTGATTTTTGGAATTTGAAAAAAACATATTGAAATTCTGAATTGCTAAATATGAGAAACATCTAAATACAGGTTTTACAACTGTTGCCATCAAATGAAGTAATTTAAAACTGAAATGACTATATTGATAATGGAGTTAGAAGAGCATAGTATTCATGCTTTATACAGCATAGATATTTCTTTTAAACGAAGATTTGTAAAGATCACATGAGAAGACAATTTTGATTGAAAAAGTTATATCAGAAATTCTAAGGCTTGAAAAATGTTTGGGTTCAAAGTTAAATACCATCTTATATATTAATGAAGGGACCGAGCATGTATAAACTTTAAAATTTACAAATATAAGTAACGAAATAAAAATTATATGTTAAAACATACGTTTACTTTGATTATAAGTAATAACAGCAAATACGCTGACAGCAATGGCCGCACACAGGAGCACAAATAGTACAATAATGGCGCACTTGAGACACCGGACCTGCTTCCTCAGTTCCCCGTCGTTACTGGACTTGGTCTTGTTGTAGATACTTGGCATGGACTGGGTCATCTGATCGTACAAGGGGTTTACACGCTTCCTGTATCAATATATTATATTATTTATTACTAATAATTTTTTTAAAAAATTTTTGTCAATTATACATGACTGTTATGCATTTCAGTAGAGTTGCATCAACACAAATTGACCCTATTTAGTCTACATTAAAAAAAAAAACAACATATATATAGTTTTCCTTAAAGGCCCATTATTCCTAGGAAATGCTTTTTATTTCACAAAAGCTTTTTAATTCTGGTGTAATTTTATAGTATTCGAAAAGTTAATCATTATGTCTGGAACCATCTTGATAATCTGTTGCTTTTTGGCAATAAATACTGTGATAGTGAATTAGTATTTTATATGGATGTCAAAATACTAGTTTGTACATTTTACTACTTTGTTTACTTTTATGACAAATTATTTCACACCAATCTCTACTTTTTTTCAGGTAACAAGCATCTGACATTCTCTAACACCATTATTATTTAATTATTATTAAATTCATGTTTACCCTTTCTTAAGAAGTAAAAATTTATTGTTTTCCGAGGCATTTTACATGTGCCTTTAATATAATTATGACTTCTTGCGTGTAAAGGAGATGTTAAGTAAACCTTTCCTGCTTTATATATACATGTATTAAGAATATAATGTATATAATAATCATGTATGTACCAAGTAATGTCAAATGTGCAGTTTTTAGGTAGTGTTAACACATTTACTAACAAATAAATGTCAAACAAAGATGACTTATGTCATCATCATTTGGTATTTATAAAGGTCCATTACGCCCCAGAAATGCTTTTATTTCTATTTCTCAAAAGGTTTTAATTTTTATTGTATCAAAAAAGTGACTCAATATCAAATGACTTAAACCATCTTTTTCTTTTTTTATTCCTTTTTGGAAATTACATGGTTACAGTACAGTTACAATAATTTAGTAATTTGTATGGAAGTCAAAATGCTTATATTAACTTGTTTACATTTTGTTACTTTTATGACAAACTAATTCACATGTAAAGAATTTTTCTTCTGGTAACAAGCATCTAACAATCTTTAAAATCATTAATTAATTCAAATGTTAAAAATTCATGCTCTCCCAATCTTAAGAAGAAAATATTTATTTGTTCCTGAGGCATAATGTGCCTTTCACATAATGCTAAAATGAGACCTCAATTCCAAAATACCATCTCATTGACTCATCATCACATTATATGTTTATGTTGTTATCCTGACATACATACATAACATATATGAAATGATGACATTAATTTCAAAATTATAAATTCTTTCAATTTTCAATCTCAAAAAGAACAACAAAAGAAACCCAACAAATTTATATGCATGTATGTAACTGATGATCAAAAAGTTTTATTTTCAATATTTTTCTTCACCACTCTTCAATCTATGTTTTAAAGACAAGTAACACATAATTTATTAACATGTACTTCAAGTGCTATAATGGACACTTTTTTAATCAAAATGGGGCCACAGATTTTTTTAAACAAATATTTGTGCCTACTAATCTTTCAAGTAACATAGCCCAAGTCACAATAAGAATTATTCTTAAACAAAACTGAAAATTCTTGTTTGTTCCTTGATTAATTCTTAAGCAAAGGTCTTAATGACTTATACAGGCACATCTACCAGTCAGATTCTAACCATTTATACACACTGTCCAACAAAGCTTGGATGCTTTAGGAAACAGTGAAGAAACAAAAGAAGAAAATACGAAGAAATCAAAGTACAAAAAGGAATAGGTCACTAACCTTTTATCGCTACGATGATTAACGATGTTGGCAGTGTCGTCTGTTTCCGAGGCAATATCAGTGGCTCCCCCTGATGACTGATAGAATTCTGAGCGCGAGTCCATTCCATTGTCCATGGGACATTTAGCGATACTTTTTCTATTTGGTAATTCTTCATATTGGTGACCGTAATCCGCATAATCGTAATTTTTGTTCTGATTCATTCCATCAATGTGAATATTTTCAAGGTCACCTACACCTGAAATTATAACATGATACAATTTATTATAAATGTAAACTACATTTGATTGATGTTTAAAGTGTAAATTTAAAACCAAGCTAATTAAAATTCTGTGCAATAAACACTATAAAACCTGGATTATATTTGGGGCACTTAAATAATCAGCATTAGTATACTGACTGCATTAATCCATAAAACTTATTCAACATTCGTTCACTCGTACAAAATTTTTCAAAGTTTACTTTACTTTACTTATCCACCATCATCTGTAATAATTTCAATAATACCATACATAAAATTGAATATCTAAAGGAATATAAAGAATTGCATATTTAAAGGAACACACATCAATTAAATTAAGTTGTTGACTGTAAAGTAAGTTTCAGATGAATGATGAAATTGTCACATTCAAGGTAATACCATTTTTGTCTTTTGAATAATTGTTAACAATTTAAAATTTTGGAAGCTAAGATAATGGGAGTTTCAATTTGTCACAAAATTTCTTTGAATATATCAGTAATTCGCAAAACCTTTTGATTAACCAACCTACCATGGAAAAGTTTCACTGGGGTGCTACTCTGGCACCCTCTGGGCTCTCTAGATGGCAGCAAAGGGGCAAGGCTGCCAAAGCTACTGGTCTGCCAAGAATGATTCATTCCAACATAATTATTTCTGTTAGAATTGCCAAAGTTATTCAAACTACTACAGTTTCCGGCATACGAGTAGGAAGGAGAAACAGCAAAATGGGGCGGACTTTTCGACAGTCCGGGAGTCAACAAATAACTCCGGGAGTCCCGTCTCTCAGTCTGAACACGTAACCCTTTCATATTTGCTTTCTTTCCAAATGCCATGTTAATGAGTTTATGTAAGATTTTATGTAGTTTAATTGTATCTTTTTACTTCAAGAAATCTGTATAATGATTGAAAAATAATTGATTTGTTTCATAAACACAGACATTTTTCCTAAGTACTGGAGTACAAAGTACTCATCACCAGGATATTTTTGACATTAATGGAAGATAGAGTATCATGCAAATTTACTATTACTCATCAATGTTTAGTTCCAGAAAGCGTTACTTAAAAGTGGTTGAAATAAGTAACAAGCTATTTTAACGTTTTACCTTATTACTAGAAAAATAATAGAAGAATGACTGAAAAAATTGAAATAGCAAAAATTTTAAAAATATATCACATGTGCACTCAGAGATTTTTAATAAACTTATTAAAAAAAAGTACTAACCTCTTATGTAAACCAAATTTGAAAATGAAATTTTTTTACAAGCACTTTGTTTCCTCATACTAAAACAGTTCTGGTAAAATATTTTAACGGCACTCTCTGTGATCGTAATAATTTATAAAGTAAACAACTCAAACAATGCGTTCTGGTGTATTTTATATAAACTTTATATAAAAAGAATAACAAAATTTATGAATTATTCCCTGCTGTTCACACAATTCAAATAATTTATTTAAAGTTACACACATCGGTCAATGACCAATACGGTCATTTACTGCATTGGTCACTGTATTCTAATAAAGACATTGAACTCCTAAAAAAATAACAATTTATTTTGTATCAAATTTAGTTTAAAAAAAATTTCAAACAATAATCATAATATTTACGCAGAAGTGATCTTTACACAATTTTCAAACAATAATACAATACAAATTAAAATAATCTATATCGCTGAGTACACATTATTTACTTAGTGAATTTTGTAACAATTTCAATCTAAAAACAAACCAGTAAAATCAAAATACTTTAAAACCAATAATCTCTGTGCTTATGAAACAAATAATAATTTCTGTTTTTCTACTGATGTCTAGTATATAAATCCACACAACCTTACACTAAAAACTGTACAAAATAATTCTAAATGGTTCAAAAATCTTATAATTAATCTATTATATAACACAATGAAAATCAAAATGTCCGTAATTTACAGCAAAAATTTCACACCCGTCTCAAAAATAAAACACCAGTCGCATAACTCGGACAAAGATGTTTATTTAACACATCACATGGACAATTGGCAAAATGACATAAACACTTCTCAAGATGGAAAAAAAGGACTTTGACTAAGCTGTTAAGTGACCGACAAATACTTTCCTCTAATATAAAGTCAATTATGGTATTAAGGGCATAGATTAAAGTGCAGGGCTATAATATCACATCTGATTCATAGGATTGAATTAAATAAATAGGCTTAACGAGGGCTTGGATGCAAAAATGTAGTAAATACGGTAAAAACTGCGCAAATTATACGCCAGTTTTCCTTTTGTGATGAAAATTTGATCATCGTGTCATTATTTAACTGTATGTAAGAAAACTATACCATTTTTAAGTCTAAGCTATATAAATAGTATGCAATAATGTTTTTAAAATAATTAATCCGGTCTGGTACAAAACAAAAGGTTGGGGAATAGTAAGATAGTTTTGCAAATGTGGCATTTTTTTTCCTCTTTTAATTCTTTTTTTAAATTTATAAAAAAAAAAAATAAACAAAGAAGAATTTGAAGCTTAGATTTATCCTTTTGTTTACAATATAATCAATTTTTTATTTGATGATTTTTTTTTTTTCTTTCCATTAAGAAATGAAAGATTAAACCTCTCCTTATTCATGGAACAAAACAAAATAAACTGTCAAGCATTATTCACCATTTCATGCCTATTTAATCGCTTATATCCATTTCCAGAACAAAAAGCTTCCACAGAATTATCTTGTTTACACTTAGGGAACCAGCCAATCAAATTATCTCATTTTCTCCAAGGGAACCAGTCATAGCATAAAAACAAGTCTATCAATATCTTAACAAAATGCTGGTCAGCTGTACTTTTACATTTCTGTGACTTTTTTCTTATTTTCTATCTTAATTCTGGTTCATTTAACACTTGTTTCCTAGAAAACTATCAATATTTTATATGCTAAAGATGATAATTAGTCAATAAATCAATTAAGAGCAACGAGAAAAGGACAGGACAACCTGTTACTGTATGCTCCGCAGAAATTTGTGTGGGAGAGAATCAAAGCTCAGCTTTTCTTGCGGTAATAGTGTAATTGTTTCTGTAAAGACAGGAATTATTATCAATTTCAGTTGATGGCAAAGCTGACATAATTCAGAGAAATAAAGCTTCTCCCTATAAGCTCCTCTCATACATATTAAATGGATTTTTCTGTCACACCAAATGAAACTCATCGTATCCAATCTTCTAAAACCACAGACATCGATCATTTCTTACACCATGTTAGATTCTACATACTCCTTTTGTCATAGTTGGGAAAATTTTGTAAAATTTTATTTAATCGATCTTGTTAACCATGCAAAAGTTAAAGTCTTCAATCCTTTTTTAACTAGAAATGCCATATTATCCAATCAGCTCATTTAAGCAACAGTGGGAACTGGACAAATATTATAATGACTATGATTCTACACCATGTATCAAAATGACAGTTGACTGTTATAACACAGAAAGCCAAAAAAGTGAAAACTACCCCACCATGATTGAATACTGGTATATGATCACATAATATTTGAAAAGACGTAGGCTAAATTATATTGTATTACATGATCAGATGTAGGCTAAAACTTTAACACATTACACTTTAACATGTAGGCTAAAACTGTCATATATCATCAGACGTAGGCTAAAACTGTATCACATTACATTAACCAATGTAAGCTAAAACTAAATAATATTATTACATCAATTTGATGTAGGCTAAACTATAACATTACATCATCATAGGCTAAGGCTGTATCACATTGCTTTATCCAATGTAGGCTAAAAATAAATTATATTACATCAATCTGATGTAGGCTAAAACTATAACATTACATCATCAGATGTAGGCTAAAACTGTATCATAATACACATGTATGCTAAGGCTACATAACATTTTCAGACAAAGGCTAAACTATACAACATTTCTTTATCAGATGTATGCCAAAACAATAAAATTTAACTATCCACAGAGAAAATGTAGAACATTCTGTAATTTCCTCAAGCGACATAAATAGGATTACAGAAACAAAAATTCAATTACAGACCTGATCACTGGGAATTGCTTTAAAACCTTTAAGAATGTATAATTACACATTTAGTTGACTGACAGATCTTGTTTATTTTTTTTTTCTATGATAAAAACAGTGACATGGAAATCAAAAGTACATTCATCTATTTTCTAAGGCTTTTAGCTAGAACCATAGTGCTTTTATGATAGTTTTCTTAAGTCATGATGATTGACTTTTTTTAGCAAATAACATGTAAAATGTCAGGGAACGAAAATTCAACTCACCAGCGTAGTGTATGAAGTATGCAGCAGAGCTAGAAGAACAAGAGTCATCTGCTTGACAATAAGCTAAACTATTCTCAGTAGCTGACAGTGAGAAAAGGAGCATAACTCTGTTCAAAGGTACCTCAGAGTCATGGGACCTGTGCTTTTCATGTGAGATAATCGCAGGAAACAAGACTACTGTGTGAAGTCTCAACCCATCCCTTCAGTAATTTTGGAGATACCAACTTGCATGCACACAAGAAACAAGACTACAGTGTGTGAAGTTTCAATCCATTCTCTTCAGTAACATTTTGGAGATACAAGTTGCAGACAGAAACTTACCCAATAAGACACCAATACTGACAAATTGACCAATATCTAGAACCATTTTGTATGACCAGGACTGTGTTAAATAAATGACTTTTATTTTTCTTGAATGAAAACAAATAATTATATACATAAACAAAATAAAAATGTCATAAGTATATTTCAGAAAACAAAACACTTTGAAAAGGTCATACAAAGTAATATTGTAGCAACGTACATGAGTCATTTTTTACATAAATACAGGTCAAGATGTTAGTAAAGAAAAAGAAAGATACAGATCAATGTGCAACCACGAAAAGTGGTTATCCTCTCAAATTAAGAATTTAAGGATAATTTGAAGTGTTTATCTTGGTACATTATTTAAGTTGCTACACAGTTCATAAGGTCACAATCTCCTCTGTTGTCACCATATAAGGCCAATTTTAAGCAACTTCAAAAGATAGCAAAATCAGTCCTCTCTTATTGTGAAATCCAAAGATTTGATTTTAAAATCCAAAGATTTGGTTAAAAATCCAAAGATTTGATTGTAAAATCTAAAGATCTGATTGTAAAATCTAAAAATCAAAGACAACCTTCTGTATTTATTAATTTCCAGCTTCTCCATGAAAATTGTATATTTTGTCAGTGTAAATTTTTTGTCAGATGTTTACCATTATAATTATATTACCAGTGTATTTCCAGCTGATTGTCAGCTTTAATTATAATCAACATTTGTTTTTTCTGCTTACAATGAAAATAATACCATCTTGGCCAATCAAACAAAGAGCTGACAAGGTTAATTTGGTTTAAAACTTAAAAGATGAATTTCGTCATCAATCTGTACTCTATGTAACTTTACCCTACTAACTGCACTTAATTGCCCTATTAATAAGGTGCAGACTAGAAATTTGTGAAAAGATACCAAAATCTCAAACAAAGGGTAAATAATTAAAGGAAACAGTAATGTAATGACATAAAAACTATTTTACTAAAACAACTTGATATTTTTGATGTGTTGTTTCCCCCCTTTAAATAAAAAAAAATATCTAAATATTTAAATTTCGAAATTCTGTGCCAACTAATCTTTTGATGTTACTGCCTCTGCTCTTATAATTTAGAGATGAGTTGCTCATAATTGTAGACATTAGAACAAAGGAGGTTAATTGACTTTTGTTGTTTGTAGGGAAACATAAAACAGGAAATTAGAGAAGTTTATTGCACAATTTATCTGCCAAATATGTAGATGAACGGTATCATAAATTTGTAATGTATTTAAATGGCTGTGGGAGAATGAATGTCAAGTTATTCCCAATAACTGCACTCCTGGTGCATGTATATAATTGACCTTTAACCTGCTGAATTTGCACAATGGTTTTGTAGACTTTCTCTGATTAAGAATATTTAGGTTTTCCCCTGCTTTTTAAATCTGTAGGTACAATATTAATACAGCTTTGAAAATAAGTGAAACAGGTTTATTAATCTATTGTGATGGGTAGTTCACTGTGAAGCTAAAATTTGTACCTATGGATTAGCTGGGAAAAACCCACATTTGCCGAAAGGCCGGATAATGTCTATTTGGAGCACCTCAGAGATTTACATACTGTTATTTAAAGACAAAAATTGAGCTACCAACAATATAAAGCATGGTCAGTCTGGAGAGATGGCTTGGTTAATCACTCTTGATTCCTGAGCTGATTTGGCATTAATGTTTTTTCACCCCGCAAATCCTTCGTAAGTAAAATATACCAAACAACCCTTAAATTTTCCATTAACTATATCATATTCACTTTTCCATGAAACATATAATGAATTTAGACTTCTTAACACTAAATCCAATTAAGATAACTTCATGTTGCATAATGAACACTATCAATGAAGGGGGGTAATCAAAACAAGAAAAACCTCTTTCATAAAGGGAAGTTATCACTGTAAAGGTATATTTTATTGTGGGCAATTTAAATCTCACACATATAGGTTGGTAAAAAAAGCATGTGAGATAAAAAAATAACTATTTGATCCCCAGTACATATAAATGTGATAATAGTTGTGTGAACAGTGTACATTTAATTTTCATCAT